CAAACCGCGAAGAATCGGGCATCGAATTCTGACCTCTAGTGGAAAATATAAGTAGTCTGCAAGAACAGAATCCAGGAGAGAGTACATCTGCCCGCTGCCTCTCCCGTCGCTGAATGCATTTTTTCCAGCCCTAAAAAGCCACATAAAATTTTTCTCTGATTTGAAACGACATGACCTTCGACAATTAGATCTTGGCCGTTAGATCTCAGCATATGCCCAGAATAAGTGTCGCCAGTATATGCTATTATTATACGGGCTCTTTTGTTTAAATATATGAGTATATGATGATGATGATGTGGGGCATTGTGGCAACTTAAGGATAACTACAATAATGTATATTAACTTTATATTTTTCCTTGATCATAATTAATTTATTACTTATTTTTGTAAATAATGGAGTTAATAAATAACAAAGATTTTTTTAATTTAAAAATGTTTTACATAGGACTACATTGTCTAAAATGTTTATAAACTTAAAAAAACTCAATATAAAAATCTAAATAAACTTTATGACTAATGTATCACAATGTTTTTTATTAACTTGGCATTCTAATTATTTTCATAATCCAAGGGCATAAAAAATAAACAAATTATATAAAATAGGTTTTTTTCTAATATTTTTTGGAATTAATTATTTATTTCCATATTTAAGTTGCATATTTTTGAATTACAGATATCCTTTTGTAAAGTAATTCAAATGAGATAACTTAAATTTTAAAATTATCGTCAAGTGGAATTAATTAGATATACTATGATGTTTTTGAGTATGACATACTATAGCTTAAAATTAAATTTTTTATTTTATTTTTATGTGATTTAAAATAAAATTTTCACTATGAATAATAGTTTAAATTATAGAAGTTATAGTGATATTAATTAGTCATAACTATAACAAATTTGCCACTGTGAGGGCTAAGTGTACAGCTACGATACCATATACTAATATTAGCATATTGGGATTTTGGTAGCCATTGGATTGGTTTCAATTTGGACCACTCGCTTTTGTATATAAACTAGGGTTTTTGGGTTAATTGATATGCACATTTTTTGTATTCTCTTTCCATATTCTAAGCACTTATATTGATGGAGATGAGAGGCACCTTTGTTTGTCCCTAAAGAGTGTTTGGATTTAGGATTTTGATTTAGATCTAGCTTTTGCATTGTCTAAATCTAGCTTTTTCCATTTCATTTCCTTTATTTTTTCCTTTCAGAATTTGGCTTAAATTTAACTTTTGCATTGCCTAGATCTCCCTTTCCTTCTAACTTTTTTTCATTTCATTTCTTTTACTCTTTCTTTTTCATTTATCTTCATGGTAGAGCAACAATCTCTTCCTCCTCTAACTTTGGAGTAGTAGTTGGTGCAATTGCTTGATACTATATGATTGCAATTGAACAACAAAACTTAGTTGATGACAACATTCATGACACGTGGTACAACTCCTTTTGCTCTTGGTGCTAATCCTCGTGTTCGGCCGAAGTTCTTTTGCGAGAATCTTAGGGGTGATGTGTACTATTAGTTCGATCACTTCACGGTGATTGCCACATATCATTCTTGGGATGATGCTTAACGTTTGCGTGAGTTTCCCACGTGTCTCCAAGGGCTAGCATTGTAGTGGTACAATAGTTTGAGCATAGCCACTCGTGGGGATTGGAGTGTTCTCCCGAACGTTTTCAAACGTGCCTTTAGACATGCTGACGACTGTGATGATGCCTTCTAACAATTCGTCTTCATCAAGGGCCATCTGAGTCGATGATGCAATTTGGTGTTCGTTTCCGAAGTCTTTTGCTTCGTGCGGAGCCAAATATGTCAGAGTGGAATGTTGTGGCTAGCAAGATTTTGTCAGACTTGTGCATGCACTTACTCCTGCCACTCTTGACAATGCTCTTTGCTTGGCACAATGTTATAAGACATCACCTCTTCCACTTCTCGCTGCACGTTCTTCAACTCCACTTCCTATGGGTGATGGTCATGTTCCAATGGAGCGGCCCTATTGGTGTTTACCGGATTGGCAACTTCCATTTCCTGGGTAGAGACTTTGGCGTCCACAACATCCCGTTGGTGCTGCTACAGTGGAAGGTTTGGACACTGAGATGCATTCAAGAAATGAGGAGTCACGCAAGTAATGGAGGGACCTTGCATGAATAAGTCAATGACCCCTCCATCTTTCTTTCGGGAGTATCATCAAGGGGTTCATTCAGCATCGGTTCATCCAGTATTTACTTTCCAAGCTCATTTTTATAACAAAAGGTCTTCTATTATTCTCTCTATGTTGGTTGATACAGGTTCGAGTTTATCTTCTATTGCTCGACCTGTTACCACACACACATTACCGTCTACACTTGTGTCGTGCGGCAGAACTAGTTTTCATTCTTTATGGCAATGGTTGTACACATACATGTGCACGGGATTGAGTTGCAGTCATTGCAAGTGGTGCCAAGTCAACCTTTTGACCTCATTCTTAGTATGGATTAGTTGCAACACAATTATGCCAAGTGTGACTTTGAGGCTTCTCCCCCCTGTCTCATATTTCCTTATGTTTGATCCATTCCTTTCACTTTCATACCTCTTTGTCCCTCTACTTTTACCTTTGCTTCCATTACTTTTGTTCCCCCATTATTTCCTCTTATGTTTCCATTTTGTTCTACTCTTCCCTTTTCCGATCCCTCCGACAATCTTTGTATTGCAGCAGTTGACCAGCTCATGAAGGAGTATTCTGATCTCTTTGAATTTGACCTATCATTTGGGGCCAAGATTGCCACATGTCATCCGATTCCAACCGGGGATGCTCATCCAATCAAGGTTTCTGTTCGTCGTTGGTCACCTAAGGAAGTCAAGATTTTACATACAAACATCAAGGAGATGTTAGGAAAGGGTGTTATTCGGAAATCGTGGACTCCTTGGGCATGTGAACCTCATCTTGTAATGAATCCTGATGGGAGTATTCATTCTACATCGACTATCGTCCATTAAACGAAGTGGTGATCCCAAATGTGTACCCTCTTCTTCACACTGCTGATCTCCTAGATCGTTTGGGGTGAAGTCATTGGTTCACCAAGTTAGATCTTGCTTCTGGGTAATGGCAAGTACCAATGGCTGAAGCAGATATTCCTAAGATTATTTTTCATACACCATTTGGTTTGTATAAGTTCTTAGTGATGCTATTTGGTTTGAACAATGCTCTAGCAACTTTCTAGCAGATGATGGATGAGGTTCTTTGCAATATGTTGAAAGTGACTACTGACTTCATTGATGATGTCTTGATTCATTCGGAGGGGACATGGGAGGAGCATGTTTGTGATGTTTGTAAAGTGTTTGATTGGCTACGTGACATTTGTTTAAAGCTAAAGCGGTTGAAGTGCATGTTTGGGTCCAACGACACAACTTATCTTGGGTACCGTATTTCTCATGAGGGTTTGCAAATTGATCTTGACAAACTTGTGGCTATTATAAAGTTCCTTACTTCGAAGTGTGTAAATAATGTGCAACACTTCTTGGGCAAGGTGTAGTATCTCGGTCGTTTTGTGGATTATCTTTTTGATCGCACTTCACCATTGCGAGCGTTGCTGAAGTCATCAACGTCATCTTTCATTTAGTCTCCGGATTGTGAACAGGCGTTTGTGGATCTCAAAGAGCTATTAACAATTCCTCCGATTTTGGCATATTTTGATTACACTCAACCTTTTATTTTGTGCATACATGTTTCTGACATTGGTCTTGGAGGTGTGTTGATGCAAGAGAGCTCGAGTGTGCCTGGTCAGCACCATCCCATTGCATATAGAAGCTGTATGTTACAACCGACGGAGATGAACTACTCTACAACAAAGAAGGAGTGTTTAGCAGTAGTCTAGGTTTCGAGAAACTTTATGCATATCTATATGGTTCTCGAGCGTTACTTGAAAGTAACCATGCTACTGTTACTTCATTATTGAAGTGGAAGAACTTAATTGGTCGTACTGCTTGATGGGCTTTGAAGCTTCAGATATATGATTTTGATATTGTTCATCGCTAAGGGAGTTCTATGGCTAATGTTGATGCCCTTTTTCGAGCTCCTCTTCCTTCTCCACTCTCTTCTCATGTTTCTGATGAGCCTGTTGTTTCAGCATCTGTGGATATTCTAGACGAGGATTTTGTGCCGTCTGCAGTTGTTGTACTTGATGTTCAGTGTCCACAATGCGTAGAGCAAGATCTACCTTCTTTTGATGAGGTTCGCGAGGCTCAAAAGATTGAGCCATGGATTCAAAGGCTTCGAGATGGGTTTGAGAATCTTGCATCACTTGCTGATGATTTGCCTTTTTGGCATTTACATTTTCAATATCGCTTTGAAGATGGCCTTCTTTATTTTGTAGGGACGGATCCTAATGATCATTTACGGTTGGTGGTGCCTTCTGTCTTTATTCTATGGTTTTTCCATGCCTACCATGATTTTCTTGTTCTAGGTGGGCATATAGGATATCGTCATGTAACCGAGAAGTTGTGCAGATCTTTCTATTAGCCGGAGATGTGACATGATATTATTCGGTATGTGCGTAGCTGCATTTGGTGCCAAGCTCGTAATACTCCCCCTTGTGCTGCAGAAGGACGGTTGGAATCAATTGCAATTTCCCGTCCGTTTGAGTTGGTAGCATTTGATCTTATGGGACCTTTTTCCATAATCGGCTATTGGCAATGAGTATGTTATTATTGCTTCTAACTACTTGACTCATTGGGTGGAAGTTGGTGCTTTTGCTAACTCTTTTGTAACTGTTGTTAGATACTTCCTCCTCAATCGAGTGGTGTTCTAGTATTCTTGTCTAGAGCGGATTCTTTTGGATAATGGTCCCATATTTATGGCTGAGGCATTTTATGTTTTGACATCTCAGTTGGGGATATGCCACACTTTCACAAGTGCTTATCATCCACAATCAGACAGTCTAGTGGAATGGCTCGTTCGGACATTCAAAAGGATGATTACGAAGTATGTGAACTTTCAGCATTCGGATTGGGATGGTTATTTGTTGTCTCTTCGGTATGCATATGTCACAAAGGTGTAGAGTTCTATTGGTGCTTCACTATATAAACTTCTATATGGTCATGATCCAATATTACCAACGGAATTGAGTTTACCTTCCGCGATTGTTACGAAGTTGCTAATGCTAAGTTGTGGGATCAGTATTTCACAAGCATTCTTCCATTTGTCCAAACAGAGTCTGCCGAACACTTAGGCCGTGTATAAATGGGAAAAGAACACGCTACAACTCCCATCATCGTCCATTTGTGGAATACAAAGTGGATAATTTGGTGTTAGTCTGTTTTCCCTATCTTACGGTATGTGGTTTATATAAGGGGCTCCTTACGCGGTGGAAAGGACTATATCAAGTGTTGCGGCAAGTTGGACCACAAGTTTATGAGGTTTGGCATGACGTCCAGCAAGCCGATCCTCCAGAGATTGTGCATGTGTAGCGGTTGAAACGTTTCATATAAAGGGATCAAAAGTAGTTAATACCACCTATAGATCCGCCAATGCCTCCTTCTGATGTTCCTCTAGATCCCAACCCATCTATAAGAGAACTCTAATGGTCTTCCATTATTCTGAGAGGAGGGGATGATGTGAGGGCCAAGTGTACAGCTACGATGCCGTATACTAATATTAGCATAGTGGGATTTTGGTAGCTGTTAGATTGGTTTCAATCCAAACCACTCGCTTCTGTATATAAACTAGGGTTTTTGGAATCAATTCTTCTATTCTTCTAACAATTAAATTAATTGTGAAAACTATTATAAGTATTTATAATAATGTAATCATGTTTATACCAAGTTGACAAAAATTTTATAAACATTAGTGTAAAGATTGAGAAGATATTTAACATAAATTAATAACAAAGCTACTCTTAAGAAATAGAATAATTGTAATCATTTGTATCAGTAATCTCATTGGTGACTTTTTCCCATTGTTTCCAGCTATGGAAGTGAAAAATACAAGAAATAATAACATTTTGGACAACAATTGTACTAAATAAATTTGATTGATCTGATAATGTTAAATTGGTAATAACTTAAGACAATACTAATATGGATAATCAAGTATTGTTTCTTATTTCCAGCTCTATAAATTCACCTTTGTTTCATGCATTGATTGTTTCTTTGGCAAGTTTGGATGATGTAAAAATATGATGAGGAGTGGCCTGGGTTGATGCTTCTTGGCAGGGATGGATGTATTCCCTGGCTTACTTCCACTATATGCTCCAGAATCTTAGCTCATTTGTGTGGAACATAGTCACAATCATGCTAGGATGCATACTGGGTGAGGCAATGGGACAGGTGGCTGAATGAGCTATCTAGTCAACACTGGCAGGCTGGTTCGGCTTGCCATAACCAAGAACTCAATCAGTCAGTAGCCTGTTCTTTTGTTCTTTCTTCTTGACATTTCTTCTAAAATAAATTATTTGTAACACAAAGTATATGTCTTCTCTTCTTTTTTTTCCCTCCAGAATGGAAGTTTGCATGAATGAAGCTTTTCTTCGTTTGACGATCCATTTACTTTTATTTATCAGAACTTGTCAAGAGATGGACCAAGTCATCCTTTTTGAGCCTCGAGTAGCCAGACAATCCCCTCGACTTGGCCATGCCTCTCAGCGTCGGCACTGTCAACTTGGCCAGATCGCTGATCTCCTCCACCTCAGATTTCCTGCTAAACACCCCTTCTTCCTCACTCGACTCTTCTTCTATCCTTGCTGCCGATCCTCCCGACTCTGATGTTTCCGATCCGTCCTCTTCGCTTCCAAGCTCCTCCACCACCTTTGTTGATCTCTCGAACTCTTGCCCCAATCTCGATCGCTGCTCCGGCTTGGGCGACGACACCGACTGGAGCTTCTTGAGGATGGACGCGAATGGAACCGGATCCACCACGCCGCCGCCTTCCACTGGCAGCTGCCGGATCTTGCTGGGCTTGTTCTTGCGGGCCGGCGGAGGCGGATTCTTCGTCGCCACGCCCAGCGTCTTCACCAGGGACTGGAGCTGCTGGATCGACTTCTCCTGCTGGGCGCTCAGCTTGGAGGACGAAGGGGTGGAAGCTCCTCCGGCCGGGTTCTTCGGGAAGATCTTATCGAACCAAGCATCGGTGTTGTTGTTGGTCTCGGCGGTGGCGGTGCTGGACGAGCTGGATCCATTCGCGGCCTCGAACAAGCTCGCCCATTTGGAGACCCTGTCGGATTTTTTTCTCACCTGGACTGGCTCGGGCTTCTTCGCCTTCGCTAGACGGCCACCATCGATTTCTTCCTTCTCTAGAAGATCTTCTTCTTCTTCTTCTTCTTCCTCGTCTCCTTCGGGATTGTTGGTGGAGATGCTTGACAAAGGAATGTAGCGGAGAGGCCTCCTCGCCGGGACTGGCGATCGCTTCACGAAAAGAGACGCTGGCCTTGTCACCGCTGAGCATCCATCGCCCTGCTTCCTCCTCGACGCCAAAATCTCGAGCGAGAGGTGTGCTCTACAATGCCCATCGCCGCCGCCGTTGCCGAGGAGCGACGAGACAGGCCCTCCGAGCATCGAGCTGTGGGGAAATTGTGGGCGGTGAGCGTCATTGGAGCACGCCACAGACCTGGCAAGGTACATTGGGATGAAAATCTCTACCCTGGATTGGATTGAGAGAAGAGAAACCGTGCAGAACCTGGATTCGCGATTACAATGCCCAAGGAACCCTAAAAATAAAATGTGATAACCAAAGATAAGACTTAAATGAGCTTCCAGTTCCAGCCAAGTTCCACATATTTTTGATAAAATCATGAATCTCTTCTCTTGAACTTCTGGCTACTCCTACTCCTCCCTCATACTTTTCTATCTTGTGTGGAAGGAGGCATGTTTTCCACACCCAAAAGGTTAGCACCACTCACGATACTTCTCTTCCCTGACTATCATCCAAGCCTGACAAGCGTATGATCAAGTAGGCAATCATGGAAGAGGAATAGAAGTCGAAGGTCTTGAAAGAACACATTTGAACGCTGTCAAGGTTTGAGGCGGGGGTGCTCAAGGTCGCAAACGTGCTCAATCTTTTTTGCAAAGCAGTCACTTACCACCTTTGTTCATTTATCATTTACAGCACTATATTCTAACAGCGATGCCAATCACCACGCTGCTGTGTCCTGAATCATCTTCCAGAAGAACTCCCGGTTCATTCAGCACCACAATGTCCTTCGTCTTCGAGAAGAAACTTCTCTTGAGTTTGCAGCAGTACTTCAGATGGTGAGGAAACCTTTTAGCAATCCTGCTCTGGATGATGATACCAGATCCAATTTCTGGATCCTGGAGAGAAAAAAAATAGCTTTATCTTGGGAAAAAAAAAAAAAAAACCGAAGACATGAAGAACTTGCTTTTAACAAGAGAACCAAGCAAGCTCCCCCCAGGCTTCTGTCAGAGCATCGGGCGCCTCCACCACTGACCAGCTCTTGGAATCAACTCCAAAGTGCACAATGCGCGAGCTGGCCCAATCAACCAACCATATACTGTTTCTCCCATCAGTGCACGTCGAGTTCACGTCAAACTCCTTGTCATGGCACAAAACAATCTCCCACTTCTCTCCCTGCCTCTTCCCTCCCCGCCCCCCAATTTCTAAATCACTCACCACCAAAAGCCGGTCCTGATCCAGCTGAAGGAAGCACAAGTTATTTGCCCCCATCTCGCTGGGATCAACCTCCAAAATTCGCCAGCAACCATCCCACAAGTTGTATCTCGCAATCTTCTGAGAACCAGTGCAAAACACCACCACCTCACCATGATCCAGGACCGGATAGAAGCCATTCATGCGAAACGTGTGCCATGGTTCTGGGCATTCTTGTTTGTGCCTCGACCACTTGCCCCGAGGCGAGTCGTAAATGTATAGCGAGACCCATGGCATGACGAAGATAGCGACACAAAACTCTCGTGTTGATCGATCCCTCTCGCGGTTGTACACCACTATGTGCATTTGCTCACTGTCCGCCGCCGGCAAAGGAACTCTTGCCGGCGAGGAGTTGAGATCGCTGTAGCGCCACACGAAGATGGAAGAGGTCTGCCCAAATTTCTCAAACGTGGCCAGGCACAGCAAGCCGACGTCGCTGCTGACGATCCTCATACCCTTGGGGAGCGTCTGGAAGAGGCGCCACTCGCTGCGCAGGGAACTCTCGACTGGCCTCACGAAGATGGATTTATCTTCGTCATCGGCGATACAAAGGCAGAGATGAGGGATGCAGTCGTGGGAGCACGCATATCTCTTGCGAAAGTTGGGATCGTCGATTGCTCTTTGCCATTTGCGACACACACACCTTGCCTGGCACAGATCTATTGCGGACAGCTTGAAGAAGACCAGCTCCAGCTCCGCCATCCTTTCACTCTCTACACGATTTAGGGTTTCCACTCGGGGATTATTTAAACGTCCAAGATCAGGCCACGTGGACGGCAAAAGGAGGCCCGCAGTAACATATAGAATCGTCGCGCAACGGTACCACTGCCGCTCCTAGAAGCGTGTACTCTCCTGGAACGAGGAAGAACAGCGAAAATCTATGCACTGCGTCTCCCAGAGAGCTCAATTCCACCTCCACTCCATCCAGAGCGCCTGATCCAAAGCTCTCAAAGTTATCTCACGAAGAAAACAAACTGTGGAAGGAACTTACCAGCGTAGAGGATTTGCTGCTCCACCACGCAGCTCGTTCCAGAGATGTCCCGGCAAGCGACGCTGAGCGACACGGCCACGTCCTCGGCCGTGTTGTTCTTGACGAGCATCTCGATCGGGACGAGCTGGTTCGCACGAACGTCCTCTCCTGCCGCGAGCCTGAATGCAAATGTGAGTGGATCCGGGAGGAGGATCTCCCGGACCGAGTCCCTCAGTGCGTCGCGGATTGCGTCCTTCAAGTGGAGCTCGCCGCTGGTGTTCTTCCCCGACGACCACCTCACGCGGATGCTCGAGCACAGCTCCTCGATCGTGGAGGTGACTTCGTTCCTGGACCTGTGCTCCAGAGCTCGAGCTGTTGCGAAGAACGCCTTGTCGCCCAGAGCTGGCAGCTTGAATTTCTCCAACGGAACCAAAACCCGTGCACAGTGCTTCCTGTGGACTTTCGTACTGGCATCAAGTTCTTCGCCTTTGACGGCCACTGTCACTTCAAAGAAAGCGTCCGTCCCGTTCCACAGCTCTAGTTCGAGCACTCGTAGATTCCAGCCTCCCCTGTAAGGATCCATTCTCACTGCGGCGTTTGCTTCGGCTTTGCGAGTGTCCGCTGGGAGAGTACTGCTTAGTTGAAGAGGAATCTCCATCGACAGCAGCCGCGAATTGACAAGACGAAGGCCTTGAAGAACTCGAAGCCTCAAACGACTAGTCAGCCGTCTACCAGGAGAGAGCTCTTCGTCAGTGCTTTCAAGAGTTGGAGAGCCTGTGAAACTGTCCTCCGTTAGTTTCAGAAGATAAACTGTGTACTTTACCTGCATAGTGGATATGAAGAAAAGCTTCTTCGTCCAAAGATTGAGTGGAGTTTTCGAGTGTCTTTCTCTCACTCTGTGAATCCAGGTGGCCAATTTGGAGCTGTATAGGCACGGACGCCTTTCTGCCAGTGTGTAGAGGTAGTGCCGCTTGAAGAACATCGTCCTCCACATATACATGTTGCTCGCGGCGCCTCGCCACCATTGTTATGTTCGCCTCTATAACTGGCACGGAACCAACGTTGCACAGCTCGATCGTCATGTTGCGAACCTCCCCCTCGTACAAGACTACCACGCCCTCTCCGCCAACAACGTCCACTACTAGAGAGGGCAGCGGAGGAATAACTTTGATGTCCGGGAGAGGCTTGTTTCGGAGTTTCAACCCACTTCTGCCCGAGCTTCGGAATGGATCTGCCAGGAACAAGCCTCTCTCAGCATCTGTGCCCCCAAAACAGTGCTCGGTAACAACGCCGTTGTAGTTCACAAAGCATCCCCGTACTGTCAGTGACCCGGTCGAAAGTGGCCTTCCAGAGAGTGACAACACGTCCGATCCATTCGGAGGTAAGACGAAGGACAGCGGAAACGCCTCGAATTCCCCCGGTTCCACTGACAGGCATATACTCTCAACGTGGATTTCGAAGGCACAAGGATTCGCAACTTCAACGAGGACTTCGACTGGTTCCCCAACTATCCAGACGAGCTGAATCTTTTTCGGCTCCTTGTGCCTCCCTGAAAACGGCGTGTAGATAAACGGGCCGGATGAGCTGCTCTCTGTCCACCATTCCTTCTTCCCAGGTTTCCGTTTGATAAAGTCCATTTGCGAGCTTTCCTGAGGAAACGAGTGCCACCTGCGAAAATTGAGTCAGTTGAAAAAAACAGTACAACTCAAAGCGTCAAGTTACCTGAGGAAAGGGAGCGCCGGAACTGAAGACCGTGTCCCACCCGGGAGTTTTGTCGCAGCCGTTGACAAAGCAGTGGCAAGGCTAATTTGGGCATGTGGTGTGATAAGTGGATAATGAGCTCGAAGAAGCTGTGACGCTGCACACCATGCAGCTAAAGCATCGCCACCACGTATAGAAGCAGCCAGCATGTTTGCCAGAACGTCGATTTGCAAGCTGCTCCATGGGGCATCATTTGTGCGGTGCACTCGTGAATTAATGCCACGAACTTCCTTGGAGACAATATACAACGTCAGTGAAACATCTGATCATGGAGACTTCAACTTACTTTGTGTGCGGAATTTAAAGGACAATATCTACTCGACAACGAATGTAATATCTGTAGAGCACTCAAGGCAGCCCAGTGATTGTCTTGCTGCAAGTACAGATGAGCAACTTCTCGAGAATAAAAAGCAGCTTTTCTCTCATACCCCAGAAATCCATATATTCTGGCCACTTCAACAAACAAAACCAGCCGGTCATTTGGCTCCAATAAACTTTTACCGGACTCAATACAGTTTGTCAAAATGTCGATGGCATCCTTGGTTGACTCTTTTCTGAAAGTACAAACCAATTGAGAATAGAGCTGCATCACTGTTATCAATTTTTACCTGGAAAGTAGCTTTGCAAGCTTGAGGTTTGCTTCCAGCTCAAAGGCCAAGGACGTTCCCCTGACAATAAACATGCTCAGAATTTTCAAAACTCTCTGCGCTACACTAACCTCTTGTAGAGCTGAATGATCTCGGCATAGTGACTTTTCACGTCATCATAGAACTGCTGATCTCGCTGACGATCTACCTGTGACAAGATCGAGTTAACCGGGTAAAAATCAAAGAATTTCAAGTTTGCTGACCATAATAGCGCTTATGCTGCCTTCTGCTGCTCCCGCGTGCCAGAATACATCTCCAGTAGATTTTAAAACCTCAATTGCAGATAGGTAATGTGCGCTTGCGTTCAAATGCGACCCAGAAAGAAGACAATAGTCTCCAATCGCCTTTTGAAGGCGGCCGAGTCTCTTCCTTTTAGCTTTGCTAAACTGCTTATACAAAAAACTTTCACAAACGTAACATGAGAAAATCTCGTTAAGTTACCTCTTCAGTCCCTGTAGACGCCGGCAAGTCCAGTGGTGTGGTCAAGGAGCTTGCAACCGGATCACCTAAAAGAACTCGCCTCTCAAAGTCCATCAGCATCGCTGCTGCAAACGCTTGCATCAAGGCCTTGATATGCAGCTCCAGAGTCTCGTAATCCGCAGAAGGGAAGAGTATAAAATCCGAATTCTTGCTCTTGTCTTCTTGTTCTAGCTGCAAAGTAACCAGAAAAAATGGTTGTTAGAGCAACAACGATAGAAACAAAAAGAAAAGCCAAGGCGAAGCACACACCTGATTATCACTGGCATGGAATCCAAAGCACCGCTTCACCTGTGCCGAAGGATACGAGGCACAGATGGTCAAGAACTTGTCGTAGGTAGCTCCAAGATCATGGGAAAGCGGGCAGTGGCACAAGCCGATCACTCCGTGAATTTTCCTGTGAGCTTGGAAATCCTCCCAGGGACTTCTCACAGCACCGCCAACCATAAACTTTATCCTGAGCTTCCCAGTCTCCCAAGCAAGCTGCGTGAAAGGACTCTTTTGGTGCTCGATGTAGAAAGCTCTCACACTCCGGAGATCCATATCCGTGTGCTTGACGATCGTCTCAACGTAGTCTCGGAGATAGACCGGCGGCATTTGCCCCATGGCCAGGACGGCCACACGGATCACCGAGAAATCGTCCAGAGTCGCGTCCAGCTCCATCAAGAACGGCGGAATTCTAGCTCGCGAGGCTCCAGGTCTTTCGTGGGCTCCCCATTGTCAAGATGCCTGATCCCGCGTCGAGCTCGCATCAAGAACGCCGGATTTTCCCGCTCGCGAGATCTAGCGCCATACTCGATCTGATCTACCCTACCTGGCAGAGCGGCGTCGCCCGATCGCAACGCCTTCTTGGCGCCTTTCTTTTCTTGGAGGCAAAAAAATATTATGACCTAAACGGAGAAGACCGTGTAGTGTTCTAGCGGCATTCTCGTCTCTCTCAAATTCCAGCAATTCTCGTCTCTCAGAATTCCAAGTAGAGAGAGGAGATTGCTCGAATAAGAATCGATTTCCCTCAGCGATTTGTAGCCCAGATCGCCTCGCCAGTGTCTGTCAGATAGAGCACCACATTCCCGTCGTCGTCGCGCAGCGCCGACGATTGATCGCACTTCTCACAGCCACATGGGAGAGATAGCTTCCCACCTTCGTCATACATGGCCAGGTTAGGGCTGGGCTCGAGCTCCACGAAGCGTCCATAGCCAAGTCCGTACGTTGCAGAGGTCCAAATATCATCGTGAAAAACTGTGTCGTACAACACGGCTGCGCATTTCCACGCGAAGGTACTTAAACGCCGTATTACTCACTAAGTTTTTCTTAGAGACTGTTCGTTTTGGGAGTGATTATTAGCGTCAAGCAGCTCATCGCGGGTTAGATTACACCTCCGAATTAAGCGGAGAATATCCAAGAGATTTATTCGAATATTCATATGTGATGAAGATGGAGCAAAGGATGTGCGGCGATTGAGAAGAGGGTCAGTCAAATTCTTATGCAAATGATGTATCCTCCTCCAATTGTGTATAGCTATAACCAGCTGATGTCCAAGGGGATCTTGTGCTAGATTTCTTAATGCATCAAATATAAACATTACTATTGACCTTGGAAGACTGTCACTGCCACCCCATTGTACATAAACTGCATGACACATTGATGGATAAATAAGAATTAGAAGTATGGGAGAAGGTTAATAAATTAATCATGGCATCATCTTAAGAAACTGTATACATTATTACATATTTATAAGATTTGACAACGAGTTTTTTTTTCCTTTTTGGCATATAAAAATCTAGCTTTTACATTTATCAAGAAAAAAGTCATGCATAGTAATCATATTTTCTTTTGAAAAGAGTTTCCAACCTGTAAGTCAATTCATTTCTAGAGTAAAATATAAATGGGATTTTGTCTCAAATATGACTTCTTTTATTAAGGTTAATTCTTGTTACTGCTACATTGGTTAAAAGCTAATACCCTTCAAGACTGATCCAATATAGTGTTTGCAATCTAGAGAAAATAGCAGTGTTTTAGGAACAAGTATTAGTACATGAAAAAAAGGTGATCAAAGCACAGTAATTATGGTAAATATTAATGTAAAGCTATCATTTATATCAGTAAGGGTTTTTTTAAAGCTTCAAAAGACAAAATTTTATAAATTTTACTAATTTTATACAGTTTGAACATTCTTACTGTCAAAATATGACCAGATATGGTTCTATGTAAATATATATGTACAAATGACTGTATTATATATTATGTCCCTTTTTCTTGTGCTCCTATTAAAAACTGATTTGTGAAACTTTCCTTATAAATTCAAAACTAATACATTTTTAAGACTCATATGTAGGATTGGTATGGACTTAGAATTTTATATTTGCCCTGGGTGAACAAAAAAATCAATAATTTTATACAATAATTTTTTGCTATTTTAAAATTGTAATACTAGAAAATTAATATATTTCTAGGAAAAATTTAAATTTCTAAGAATAAATACTTTTATTAAAGATATTAGATGAAAAGTAGGACTTTTATTTAGAAAAATAACATTGTAAGAAAACTAATACCTGATCCAGAAAAAAGTCAAAAAAAGAATTGCTAAAAATAATAAATATTAGTAATTAGATGTTACATTTAAAGTATGATTTCAAAAACACTGCTATACTACTACCCAAACTCAATAAAGTAAAATAGATTATTAATAATAATTATTACTAATTTATATATTAGAAAATAATTACATAATTATGAATTTTATTTAATATAAAATAATTTTATATATATATATATATATATATATATATATATATATATATATATATATATATATATATATATATATTATCAACTATAAATTCAAAAGCTTATATTCAATATTATGTATAAATAAATTATATTTGTATTCTGAAAGCTTCTATAATACAATATATCTAATTATATTTATAGTCTAAATACTTATCAATTAGTTGGAAATTTTATACTTTTTATAAAACTAGAAAATAATTTCAATTAATTATGAACTTTAGGTTTATATTTATTTAACCAAAATTTTGTTAAATAGAATTTCCACTAAATCATCTTTCTATCCTTGACATTAGACTTTATAGCTTTTGACAGCTTCTCAAAAGGTGTTGGATGAAGGATCAAAAAGACAACCATGAGAGTGTGACAATAGACTTATCCTTAGTTAGCCAAAGTCTCTTGAGGAAAACTAGTAAATAGTATGTAGATCTCTATTAAATTTAGATTTTTATTTGAGCTAGAGAAAACTTGATACCATTAATGATTGTAAGCAACTAAAGACAACAATTTAAGAAACAATTCATGGGGTTCAAATATAAAAAGAAAAAGCTTATAAACAAAATTACACCCTTTTTTTCAATCGATTAAAGGTCTTGGGACACATAAGGTTAAGCATCCTTGGGTTTAAATAGTACTGGGTTGGGTGTCTTCCCGGGAAATTTAAATTCAGGAGTTTACATTTAATATTAGAAATCTTGGGACAACACCACAACCAAGTACACTCCTGGTTTAGAAGACACCATCATTGTCACCATGAAAGGAATTGTGGTAGGAATATGGGATAGAGGAAAAGTAATCAAGCATAATAACTCTTTACGAGAGCTCTATTCAAGTCTCTATCAAGGAACTTTATTCTTTTGACTGAAGTAGTAATGAACTACATCTTTTATTCCATGCTAGTTCTTGACAACATCCTTTTGGAAAGGTCCTTAAGAATAGAATAAAACATCTAGAATGCTCTTAACGTGAAAGAAGTTCACAAGAATTTATCATAACATTTTGTATGAAAAAATCTTGTAGAATTGAACATCTTGTAGATGTTAATTGACATCTAGGAGGTCCAATTTGCTTTGGCTAGGCTCGACCCGAGGGGTAAGATGTCAAGAGAGTGGGGCTTTTGGGAGAGTTATTGCTTTTAACTTCTATTCACGAGGGCGTGAACTTGTAAAGAAACATAGTAGATTGTAAGTAGCCAAAAAGAACGATTTGAGAGATGATCCATGGGATTTGAATGGGTTTGAATAATATTGGACTATGTGACCTTTTGAGAAATCTAAATTCAGGAGCTTATAAAGACATATATAATCTATCTCAAAACTCCCAACCCAACCTTTAGCTTTACATTTAAATCTATTTTAAATCTCCCAACCCAACCTCATAGCCTTATATTTAAGAGGACCTTACTTAATCAATTTCATATCTACAAAACCTTCCAATGCTTAAGCAATCTCATCTAACCCCTAAATTCCAAGTGCCTTGCCATCCCCAACAATGAGTAGCCTATAATTTGGCTTTACTTACATAGAAAGCTTTATGTGAGTAAGATGAGAGCCAATCACAACCTTCTGCAAAGTTTTCCACCTAATGGAGATGCTTTGTATTCACGACTGTTAAGCTGGATCTATCATGGTTGCCAACAATAAAATCTACAATGAGAGAAACCTCTCAAAACTAGTTCAAAAGGTTTAAAACAAGGTGGTTGCACCATACCCAAAAAACTAGTGATTTGGCATAAATAGATGGGTGGATGAATCAACTTTCTCCCAATTATAAGCTCCAAAGGAATGTCTCAATGAATTAGTTTTCTCCTAGTTATAAGCTCCAGAACAAAGATCCATGTTAGCTTTTATAGATTTTTAAAGAAATAAACAATCTTCTCAACTGTTGTTTTTCCAAGCCGAGGTGGAACTCTTGTGCTAGGACTTGCCTCGTTTCTATATGGCCATCTTAATGGCATGTCATAGCAAGCCTCACAAAGACATTCTTCTACAAAGCCTTGTAATGTCTAGTCATGCCCTATAAATGACCTTCTCCGAACAAGTTAGTGGTATAAAGCGTTCTAAACAAAATCGCAAAAAATAAACCATAAAGAATAGAATTTATGTTGAGTATAACAAATTTGCTCCTCTTAATTGCCTCCAACTTCTCCTGAATAAAAAATTGAAAAATTGAAAAAGAAAAAATAATACAGAAAAAATATTAAAAATTACCTTCATCTTCCTAGATCTCTCTTTTATTACTATAGGTGTTCTATAGTGTATATGCTCCTTAGGCATGTTGTCAACTCTTCCACTTCATTATGAAACTATTCTACAATGAATGCATTTATTCTTAAGCCATTTGGTTGCTTTAAAACCTTTACAATTGTTTGTAGTTGATTTTGGACATTAACCACTTAATCATTATGAATCTTAAAGTAACTTCTATGGTCTTTAAAAACACACAACATCAATTTAAAAAACAAATAATGAAAAAACAAAAAATATATAAGCTCTTAATAAGGATTAAAAATTATAAGCATAAATTATATCTTCTTCCTGTTAAGATATTTTGTTGTAAGACATACACCTAGAAACTATGAGCTATCACAAAATAATACCTCTTTCTTTTATCTCATCCCATTATATAAAAATCTTTATTACAACAAATGCAATTATGAAAGTTTCTAGATTTCTTAATCCTTTGTCTTTCTTAGTTACACTTTTTATTATAAAAATTTATAAACAGTGTGATAAGATTAAGAAAGAAGTATTATTTTTTAATAGTTAAATTTTTTTTCTTATTTATTTGTGTTTCAAATAACTAACCATTGCAACAAAACACTTCATAAATAGCAATAATCCTAGAAAAAAATAACCCATAGTGAAAATTTCCAATTTTTTAATCTTTTATCTTTTTTTCTTTCACCCATGAATTACCTAAGATCCTTACCATTCCTATTGTAATAATCAGCCATTTAATAAAACAAAAAATATAAAAAAAATTTAACTATCACAAAATAATACCTCTTTCTTAATTACATCCCACTACTCAGAAATTTTTACTATAGCAAATGCAACCTATGAGAAAGAAATAAAATCAAGAGTACTACAAGTTATTTTACTATCAACACAGATTATTTCTTACTCAAATTCTTGTTGTTGAGATGTTTTGTAGTGATGGGCTGTCATTTAGAAAACACAAAAAAAAGATGATGTCAAATATAAACTTTCACAATACAATACCTCTTCCTGTCTTGCCAAACTCACTCCTGTCATCACATACTTTGAATTTCTTTCTATAACAAGCATCCATTTCCTTTCTATTCTGCAACTCGTTTAACATTTTGCAACATATAAGCTTTCACTTCGAAATACTTTTTTCTATGTTATATGTTAAAATTAACATCTGATGGTCAAATTTTTTTCCAAAAAGTCCAAATCTAGGAACTTACAATATCATTATATTTTAGATTTCTTAATTTTAACTATTATATATACATGTTTTAATTAGAAGAATAACTAAAATTTTCTAATAATAGCTGTTATATGTTGAAATTATGGATTTATTTACCTTATAGAGTAGTATCTAAAAATGTACAACCAAAGGAAACCAAACTATAATTATCACAAATCTACATATATACCATCCTTCTGAGGGGTGGAACAGGTCATAGAAGATTGAATGAGAGGGAACAATGCATTACATCCATCCATGTTGACAGGTTTTATAATTTTTAATTGGGCATAAATGGACATGCCTCAAATTGAGATATAGGAATTCTTTTGTTTATGGACACATAGAATTACAACAATGGTCTTGTGGATTGTTAAAACATTCTAGGAAATGTAAACCAAGGTCAAGCACATCACAACAATAAAAAGCTATATCATCAGCCTGACCTGTAGACCTTTATAAAGAAACTTTCTATGCTCTGCTGTTGCTAAAGCTAAAGCAAATAAAAATGAAGTTTAAAGTTGATTAATCTTTATCAGGCGAATCTAAGATATGACAAAGAATATTCTAAAATCGATAGAAAGCGTATAATTTGAAAACGTTTATATAAACCCTAGTTTCTGGCTTGATCCTGTCTCAGGGCATGGCGTCCTCTCCCGCATTTGGCTGTGCGGATCGATTCGTGGTGGCGCCGCCTCTCGCGCCTTCGTCAACGGCCCATTTCGGTGAGTGCATGGGTTGGAAAAAATGGGCATCAAAATTCGGGGCTGGATTCTCAGGTTCCAGGCTGCCCTGTTTGAGACAGAGGGAATTTTGCTTAAGTGGTGGTGGTCGGCGGCAATGGGGTGAAGTTTTCACTGCCCAGGGTTTTTTCGGGAAGAAGGAGAACACGGAGAGCAATTCCGAGGATGGAAGCAAGAAGGTATGTCTAGAAGAAGAATTTGCGTTGTGGTGATTGTATTCTTTTAGGGAGGAGGAGGGATTTTTGGAAATATGCAAGAGCTCTACCAAACTGTTCGAAAAGCCCAGCAAGTCGTGCAAGTGGAGGCCGTGAAGGTGCAGAAGGAACTAGCTGCGTAAGGCGATATGTTTTTCCTCCATTGCTTTCGTTGTTACTGAGGCAAACGTTTGCAGCACCGAGTTTGATGGATACTGCGAGGGCGAACTTGTGAAGGTGAGAAAGCTTCCAACTTCTTTTGATTTGGATTTATTTCCAATTAACTTGTGCAAGCAAAGCAGGCTGTTCTTTCCGGAAACCAAGAACCTTTGAGAGTTGAGATCACCGAGGCGGCGATGGAGCTCGGGGCGGAGGTAAGAAACCATCTCCTTAAAGCTGAGATTACTTATCAAAATCTCTCGCAGAAACTGTCGCTACTGGTGAATGACGCGTACAAGGATGCACACCAGAAAAGTGTCATGGTAAGCAAATGCCTGGTAGAAGAAACGGAAACGAGTGACACTGATCTCGAAACTTGTCCAGGCTATGAAGGAACGCATGAAGAACTTAGCGGAGAGCTTGGGGATGCCTCCCGGCTTGACACCCAGCTGAAACGCACAAACGTGGATATAGCCTGGTTCCACAGTTTTGTACTCGCGGTAAAGCAGTAAGCTGCTATTTTTCTGCGCTCGCCCTTCAATCACAAACTCGTCTGGAACTTCCTGATCTCCCGCATTGACCCATCAACGTTGAGGCTAAATCACACGACTGGCCTCGTCACAGGTACGCCAAAGTCTCCGAAATTTCCTTTAACTTTCAAAGCTTGGATTTCTCGGCTGTGGGATTTCATTCTCTAACAAGGCTCTGATCGTGTAAGTTTTGAGAGCAAAGAGAAAGGGGGACAATCATTTGGATGCGAGTCGCGATCAGGCTTTGTCCATCACAAACCATGCAGAGCGATGCAACTCCATAACAGCGAAGTGTACTCGGAACAGGGAGGTAGGGCCTCTCACCGCTTGTTTTTTGTTCTTCCTTTCTCTCTCTCGCTCTCCAGCAAAAGTAGAATGGTTTGGTTGCGGAGAGGCCAGCCAGCTGAATCTCGTCGCCTTTAAACCATCCAAAATCTTTTTTTGCGAGGAAGAACAGCTCGAAAAAAAGAAAGAGAAAAGAACGAACAGTGGTGGGTATGTTAGTCGTAGAGGCATTTTGTCACTTCTCTGTGGAGTAGCCATCGCATGGAAGGGACCGCACAAGAATTCCCTGTCATTAAACTGGCAGCTAGTCTTGAGTTTCAATGTTGGACGAGAGTTGGTGATAGAAAATCTTATAAAGTGTTTTGTATCTTGACTTCGTCATATTAATGCTAGAGTGCTAGTATATTCTAGTATCTTTTCACATCCAACGGTTGTCTTTAATTTAGTGATTTGTTGTGGTGAAGTATATACTGTTTTTTAATTGATTGGATATTAATAATACATACTTTTCTAAATAATATAATTTCCAAATTGCTTTCTTTCTTCAACAGGTGGATAAATACAAGAGCCGTACCTGCTGACAATGTATGTACAGCGACAAGCCGTAAGCAGAGCCACCGTAGCGCAACCTCCAGCCAATGGGAAGGCACGGCCCAGATTTTGCGCTCCCGGGCGCCCCCAATCACAAATTGCCACCGCATTTCCGATAAGGATTTCGCGGGCCCTTTAGTCCACGTCACTCGCAGCGCGCCCAGATTCAAATATTTGAAAACTTCGAATATCAGGGCTTTCCAGTGGGGACCGTACCATGGACCCATACGCTGCTCTCTCTGGGTCGCTGTCCCCTCTTTTTTCTCTCCCTTTGTAATTGAAGTTGCTACCGCGACTGCTGGAGCCAAAATTTTATTTTGCCCCTCGCCCACCTCTGGACAATCTTCTGCCACTGTTCTCTCGCTCGCCAATAATCAATCCCATCAAAAGTGGTGAGCAGCACTAGCAGCAGCTGAACGAGCGAGCGAGCTTTGCTTTCGAGCCCTCCTGTTCCTCGCTTAAAAGCTGTGACGCGGTTTTGGTCTCTCCTCCTGTGTGTCACTCTGCCATGTCCTCGACTGCCGCGATGATTTGATGCGATATCGATGTGATCTTCTTTCCCTTTGCCTTTCTCCTTCCCTGTAAGTAGCCCGAGCTTCCCATTGGCTTGAGCAACTGGCGCGTGCTCGGCGGAGGGGATAACACCTTTCCACAATTCCTCTCGGACAGCTTCAAGGCTTCTCTGCTTCTTCTTCTCTTTCTTAGCGCCTGTCGGTGCGAGAACGCTGAGGTTGTTATAAGCAGGAGATATGGAAAAGGCGAGTAGTACCTCCAAGTCTAGTAGTAATCTGGCCGCCACGGCCATGGCAATAGCAGGAAGAGCTCTCCGTCCCTGTGATGTCTGCGGTCGTGAGCGAGCGAAATGGTTTTGCAAGGCGGACGAGGCGTACCTGTGCGAGAACTGTGATGGTTCCGTTCATGGAGCCAACGCCGTCTCTCTTCGCCACGAGCGCTTCCGTATGGGTCCAAATGGTATGCTCATGAAGAACGTCAAGCGGGTGTCCAAGTTCCAGCTCGCGGAGGATATCTCTCCCACGAACTCTGCTGCTGCTGTTACTGCTGCTTGTGCCAAGGATAGCCACTGTCCCCCGAGGAAGAAGCCCAGATCAAGTCGTTCCCATTCTCTCGGATCAAATTCCTCCAAGGAGAGTGGCAAAGTTAAAGCAGAGCCGAAGAGTCCCAAGGAGTACGCAGCCGAATTCCAGCCTTGCCAGGAGTCTTCTCACGAGGTTCCCATCTTTGATCCACTTCTCGAAGACTTTGCAGCCAGTGATGATAATTCACTGGGATGTACTGTCCCCTGTGCCACTCCACCCGACGAAGACGACGAGGAGATGTGCTTCACCGTGCCAGACGACTGTGATCTCGACGGCTTCCTCGACAGCGAAGCAGATCTGGGCGTTATGGACGGGATCATCTCGGGAACCATTGAAATGGACGGAATTGCAGACCTTGGGGACGTACTAGGCGAGTCCGAGTGCAAAACTTTCACGCACGACAGCTTCGGCATCGACTTCCCGGAGATCTTCCACAGTCCCTCCCCGAACAGCGATGTATCCGACGCAGATGCCTTTGACTCTGCTGATGCCGTGAAAGTAAAGACCGAGGAGGTCGAGGAGCTGGACAAGATCAAGCTGGAAGTCGACGAGATGCTCGGCTTTGCGTTCAGTTCCGCCAGCACAGTCAAGGAAGAGGAGGTCGAGAAGAAGATCACGCTGAAGCTTGACTACGAGGACGTCCTCAATGCATGGTCTGATCGAGGGCCTTTCTGGACGGAGGGACCTCGGCCTCAAACAGTTCCAGACGATTCTCTCTTTGATCCCGCGGTAAGTCTCTTGATCCTGCAGTTCCGTATCAGTTTGGTAACAAATATTGTCTACAGAGTACCTTGGACTATGGACTGGTTCCCGATTTTTGCATGGAAAGTACGGAAGTTGAGGCGGTTGGACAGGTACCGGTTGTAAACTTCGGGGAGGATAGACTTACTCCACGAGGCGGAAGAGAAGCTCGTGTCATGAGATATAGAGAAAAACGGAGAACTCGACTGTTTTCCAAGAAGATCCGCTACGAGGTCCGGAAACTCAATGCTGAAAGAAGGCCACGGCTAAAGGTTAGTATCTACAGTGAAAAAAAGAAAAAGAAAAACAGTACCTTTCATAACTGATCGTGTTCTCTTGTTCAGGGTCGCTTTGTAAAAAGAACCAACAGCACGCCCCACGCCTGAAGCCTTCGAATTCCTCTTTTAACATAGCTGAGATCATGTATACTAGCGGCACTGCCCTGTTACAAATATGTAACTCAAATGTGTCGTCAATGAGAGCATGATGTACCTATTCATCGAGAGTAACGGAAAAAAGGAACGAGAAACTTAGAAGCCAAACCTTGCAGTGTACATTCTATATACTATAAAAGTACCATACTGTACCTCCTAGAACAAAATCTCTACTCACTCTTGCCGTTGGCGATGTTTCTGACAGACAACAAATGAGTTTCAAAGTCTTAACAGAACTTCAATACCTGAACTGCACTAAACAAAAGAAAGTAAGATAAGGATTGAAAACACTTGACCTGGCTCCCTAAACAGAATAAGCCAGGGTAACAGCGCTGTACATGCTAGATAGGTATCAGCTTGCGCCATCTTAAGAAGAGGATGACCGAAGCAAAGAAGAAAACTCCAACGAGCCCGGAGACAGTGATGATCCACTTGAAAGCCCAAGGGCGATCCGTCAGGGGAAGTGGAATGTTCATACCAAAAATGCCAGCAATGATGCTATAGAACGCCATCACAAACGTTGCCGTGGTCAGAATGAGCTCGAACTGAATAAGCTGATTCCGAACATGATCCTGTCACCCAAGACTTTAGTAACACATGGGGAGAAAAACGAGCTTACCAAATTAATATTGATCAAGTCTTCCGTGTCCTCGATATATTCTTCCAACTGCAAGGTCATAGCTTGGGTCAATCATGTAGTTCTAGTACGAAATGTGAGACTTACAGAGGTCAGCTTGTTGAGAATCCCGTCGACCACCACAAAATAGGCTTCCAAAAGCATCTCCACTTCATCCACTCCCTCTGCGTTACTTTCGGAGTTCATTCTGTCCAGCTTGTGCTTCCCAATGCTCTGGAGCTTTTCTAAAGTCCGTGCAGCTTGTGGAGAACCAACAGGTGAGACAGGCGCGGACGCAGACATTACCGCAAACACGTTTCCAGCTTCTTTCTTTTTGGTAAGATAGAGTTCCGCCATGTCCTCGTCGTCATCCATGAGCTGCTCGATCTCATCACGAACCTTCAAAAAATTTAAGTTAGAACACCCAGAAAATAGAGCAAGGTAGCACTTACCCGTTCCACTCGACGTTTCAAGCCAACTAGCCGACTTTTGAGTCGTCTAACGCGCTCCAGATTCAAGGTGCTGATCCTCGACGCAAGCTTCTCCAGCAGAGGATATGCTTCATCTTCCAGCTCTGCAGTCTGATACCAAAAAGTTTAGAAAACGCTCGAGGTAGTTTTTTTTTTTATTTTTTTTTAAAAAAACAGGAAAAAAGACTCGTTACCTGTGCATCCAAGACCACGCAAGCCGTTTCTAAAGCAACCTCGAGTGCCTTCAGCTCAAACGGCAGCGCGTTCACGGACAAACCATCCAAAAGTTCCTCGTGATGGTTTGCTTGGGGAGAGGAGCTGTTGGGCTCTTTAAAATCGTAGCTCGACACATCAATCTTCTTACTTCCCGGAGATCGCCACTCGAAAGTCCCAGCATTGATGTGCTTGTTTGGAGCTATGCGTCTTCTTAGCTCACTCACGAACTGCAACACGTAGCTATCCAGCGAGTTGAGCACCAGTACCTCATCCGCGGTGATCACACACCGGATTTGCTCCAAGTTCACGACGATCGCCTTCTCCCTCCCCAGGATGGTGGACGGATACACGAACAGAGGGTCCAGCAGGCGAAGATCACGACCTGGGAGCTGGCAGCGCCGCATTACCGTGAACTTGTCGGCCTCAAGAACGTGAGAGTTCCCGGCTGTATCGATTCTAATCCAGGACCTGACTCCAAGAGCTCGTTTCTTGGGGTCGATGACGAGCAGCGATGGCCGCTCGCGATCCCTGCCGAGCAACGGCGCCTTCAAATCCCCCATCCCCCTCACCTCCAGAGCTTATTCCATCAATCAGTCGGCGCGCTAAGCGAGCGCGAATCGCTGGAAAGAACCGGCATTCCCACGATCGTCGCGACGAACTTGTGCCGCTACCGCTGCTCCGAAGAACTATCGCTGCCCTAAAGAAGAACTACAGTGTGGACGGATCGACGTGGCAAAGAGCATGCGCTTTCCATATTTGATTTTCTTATATTTTTCTAATGACTTTGCCCTAACGAATATTCTTCAACTTTGAATTTAAACTATTGACTAACAACCCCTATTAAGCACCCGGCGGGAAAGACACTAATACTCTTCGCCTTCGTCTTCGCCCTCTCCCTCAGTGGAATCGGCTCCAACTTCCTCGTAATCCTTCTCTAGCGCCGCCAGATCCTCGCGAGCCTCAGAGAATTCTCCCTCCTCCATCCCCTCGCCGACATACCAGTGAACGAACGCCCTCTTTGCGTACATGAGGTCGAATTTGTGATCCAGCCGCGAGAACACCTCCGCCACGCTCGTCGAGTTTGAGATCATGCACACCGCTCGCTGGACCTTGGCCAGATCTCCTCCGGGAACCACCGTCGGGGGCTGATAGTTGATGCCACACTTGAATCCCGTCGGGCACCAGTCCACGAACTGGATCGTCCGCTTGGTCTTGATCGTTCCCACCGCCGAGTTTACATCCTTTGGGACCACGTCGCCGCGGTACATGAGGCAGCAGGCCATGTATTTGCCGTGGCGGGGATCGCACTTTGCCATCATGGAAGCCGGCTCGAAGGTTGTATTTGTGATCTCGGACACGGAGAGCTGCTCGTGGTAAGCTTTCTCGGCGGAGATGACTGGCGCGTAGGAGGAGAGCATGAAGTGGATGCGAGGATACGGAACTAAGTTGGTCTGGAACTCGGTGAGATCGACGTTGAGAGCCCCGTCGAAGCGGAGGGAAGCTGTGAGGGATGAGATCACCTGTCGAAAACTTTGTAAGTCGTCTACAATGAAGATGATCAACAGAGTATCAAGCAAACTAGCAACCAGAAGAACATCCTAGTTGGATTTTTTGCTAAGCAAGAGAAGAAAAACTCAAATCACAAAGAGGAAGCTATCGACGGCAACAAAAAATGCAAATCTTTAGACCATGGTCCACAAGAATGGAACTTCGCAAGAAAGCAAATAGCCAAGAAAAAAACTGGAACCATGCAAAAACATCGAAAGAAACCGGCTTGAGAAAAGAGTAACGATTCTTACTTGCGAGACGAGCCTGTTCAAGTTCGTGTACGTGGGACGCTCGATGTCGAGTGATCGCCTGCAGATATCGTAGATGGCTTCGTTGTCGAGCATGACAGCAACGTCGGTGTGTTCTAGCAGCGAGTGAGTTGACAAAACGCTGTTGTATGGCTCCACCACGGCCGTGGAGACTTGCGGAGAAGGATACACTGTAAACGCAAGCTTGGACTTCTTCCCGTAATCCACCGAGAGCCTCTCGAGCAATAGGGAGCCCAGCCCCGAGCCGGTTCCACCACCAACAGCGTTGAAAACCATGAATCCTTGAAGGCCTGTGCAGTTATCAGCGAGCTTCCGTATCCGGTCGAGGCAAAGATCAACGATCTCTTTCCCAACTGCGAAAAAAAAGTCATTAATCTCGCCAGTTTGGAATGATTTCGAGAGATTTTTCGTGATCTTACTCGTGTAGTGACCCCTGGCGAAGTTGTTTGCTGCGTCTTCCTTGCCACTGATAAGCTGCTCGGGGTGGAAAAGCTGCCTGTAAGTTCCGGTTCTAACTTCGTCCACCACAGTCGGCTCGAGGTCCAGGAAAACACTGCGAGGGACGTGCTTTCCAGCTCCGGTTTCGCTGAAAAAGGTGTTGAAGGCATCGTCTCCACCTCCGACAGTTTTATCACTCGGCATTTGTCCATCGGGCTGCAAAAATCCAGAAAAGAGACAAGTTAGTCTCATCTAAAGCTAGATCAAAAGAGAAACCAAGCAATTTGAAAGAAGTTCTCGAGAAAGAGGATGAAAATGGAACCTGGATGCCATGCTCTAGGCAAAAAAGTTCCCAGCAAGCGTTTCCAATCTGGATTCCAGCTTGCCCAATGTGGATGGAAATGCACTCTCTCATGGTGATGTTTTCTCTGGCAGCCCACGATTTAAGCTGTAATGCTCCACACGAATGGAATCTACACGAAAGAAGAAGAAGAAAGCTATGGCTTGAAACTAGATTAAAAGCGCGCGCTTTTTATGCTGCGTCCGGGTGTAACCGCCCATTTCAGCCGACAACCGTGAACTGTCAGCCGGCATAGCCAACGTGGAACCCTCTTTTCCCGCCCAAATGACATCAATTTTGAATTTGAAATTAAGAAACCGCAAAATTTTCTCTTCGTCCTCGCTTTCACATTGCGAGAAAGCTCGCATAGAAAACTAGAGGAACAAACATATTGTCCATTTGGGACGTGTAAGCCTCTAGCAATCCAGCAAGCACCGCAGGAATCGCTAATTGGTAAGTCTAAAAGAAAGAAAAATAAAACAATTAAAGGAAAGAAGTAGAAAAACAAATTGTGCAATTACCTGAAAGCATATAGGAGATACTAGTCTTTGAATGAGAGCGCACGAGAAACCCAAGGACACGATTCCAGCTATGGTGCCTTCCATTGTTTTCTCTGAAGGACACGAACCAAGCTTATAAACCGTCACAAGATAGAAAATTGCTACTCACTGCTGGTACTGCTGATTCTCCATGATCCATAGTTGTATCCAACGTATGATGCCTGGTAGAAAGAAGAAGCGACTCGTAAAAACGTTTATAAATCTCATTTCCATACCATTGTGTCGCCAATTCCGATGCTCAAAATTCCTGCGAGAGTTGCTAACGGTCGCAGTCTCCAGCCGTGATGAAACCAGACTGGTACTGCGCATCCAAGAAGCAAAGAAAAATGGCTATCAAGACGAGACAAGGAAGTTAGTTTTGGTCTCAAGGAATCATCTGTCCATACCTGACAATAAGCTTATCTGAGTCCCGATGATCAGCAAAAACAGCCATGAATTCTGTGATCCTTGGCCCGATGTGTGGAATTTGCCATATCTAGGGATGAGGGAGTGTTAACAGACAAGAAAACTGTTTTAACCTTACCCTCAGCATTTCCACAAGGCCGAAGATAACAAGAGCCACAGTGAAAGCCAGATGTAAAAACTCTTTCTGACAAATAGAAAGAGCAAGAAGATGAGCATCAATACACATAAATTTTTACGTACCTCGATCAAAACCGCTGGGACGAACATCATCACTGCTAAAATATGATAGCCCTTGCGGACGAGTATTTGTGGAGCACCATTGTGTTTAGCAATGTTGTAGAGATATGGCAGTAAGCACAGTGCTGCGAGCCAGTACAAGCAGAGTCCAAAACGTAGCAGTGGCTTTTCCAGCATAAAGTTGACCACCCTATCAAAAGAATTAAATCGAACAAGAAAAAGAAGAAAAAGCGGTGTACCATAGAACTGGGTGTCGATGAACTCCTGCCACTAAGCGAAACCACGCAGGAGCTATTGTCAGCATTATGGAAAGAAAAGCTGCGGCGAAAGAGACAGTTTTGGAGTCCCTTGTCAACCACAGGAAACATTTGTAAGCTGGTGGCATGAGGCTCAGTCCGAAAACTCCAACCTATATGGATGAATTGTATTTCTCTGAGTTATCAAACGAATGAACAAACCTGGAGCATACAGTCGAGAGGATGAATTGGATTTCCAAGAATTGTGAGCAACAGATTTCCTCCATAGAGTGCTAATCCACTGGCCACAAGTATCAATTCCCCTGGATAGAGTTGAGATATAAGAATCGAGCTATAAAAACGTAGAGAGAAACTTCTACTACCTGGCGTTCCACATCCCGGGAAATTTTGAAGTATAGCTCGCAAGAAACTCGCCGATCCACAAGACTGGATTGCCAAGACAGCAATTGGAATCAAATCCTTAAATCCTGCCAGAGTCAAAAAAAAGAATCACGATATCACGATCGTGTGCTTACTTACCAGTTGCATTTGCAAAACCAATGCTCAAAGCAAACAACGCGATCCCTCCTTTGAAATAATCAAATAGGGACGACTGCCCGAGAAGTGTGACCGACGAAGTGTCGATGGAGAAGAAATTTAGAAGCCTTAGGCTGCATAGCGTAGCGCTCCAGAACGAGAATTTGCTTGTCGAGGCTGGATCCAGAGAAGAATTAAACCGAGACGCGAGTACCAGCGGCCAAGTAATCGATCCCAGAAAAATCCCTGTCGAAACACCTGGTCTTCACAGAGCAGGATTTTCACAATGGATCGGGCTAAAATTCCATACCTGAAGCTGGAGTAGGGATTTTTCCCTTTCTGACGCGATTCCACAAACCAGGCCCATGCCGCGAGCGCGACGATCGCAGAGAATTCGAGGATGTGATCGATCGAGAGAGACAGCGCCACACAGAGCGTGATCGCCGCGACAACGAGCTCCTCCATCGAGGATAAACCCTAGGCAGATTCCTCAAAATGAAAGGGTATATGCTTTTTCTTAGCGCCAAAATATGAAAAAGAACAAAACCCTATTTGGCCAGGGCTAGGGTTGGGCGCCAGGGGAGCTAGATCGTTGGAAGCGATGGCTTATCGGCATGGAATCAGAGAGAGGAAGAGGATCGTAGGGAGGATCATTCATGCCTTGCGGCGAAGAGAGGAGATTTTGATCGATTCCGGCTTGTGAGTAGATCCATTTCTAGAATTCTAGCGAAGAGGATTGTGGGGGCAATTGGAATCCGGCACGATGAGTGAGATGTTCCAGACCTATGAGCGGCAGTACCAGGAGCTTGTCTCCGGTCTAAAGCAAGGCTGCGTCGCCGCTGGAGCTCTCAATGAGGGTAATCAATCCCTTCCTTCGATCGATCGATTGATCTAAGCGGCAAATTCCAGCAGATCAGAGGAGACCCAAAGTTCCTGAATTGAAAACGGCGCTCGACGAAGGGGATTCCCTGGTAACTGAAGTTCTCTCGCCAAGAAAGCTAGATTCTCATCGATGGATTTTCAGATCAGGAGGATGGATCTCGAGGCGCGGGGGCTCCAGCCGCCGCAGAAGACGGCATTCCTGGGAAAGCTCAAGAACTACAAGGCGGAGCTCACAAATCTCAAGCGCGAAGTTAAGATGATGTCCATGGGCGCTGGAGCGCGAGAGCAGCTCCTGGAAGGCGGCCAATTCACGGTAAATCCTTCCTTCTTCTTCTCGACCCTTCGTCTTGGGCGAAGCTCTTCGACTAAGTCCCAGCAGATTTGCTCCAGACCTCGCAAGAACAACGGGTCCAACTAGCCGCCGCCACCGATAGGATGTATCAAACCGGCGACAGGATACGAGAAGGCAAGAAGGTGCTGGTGGAGACCGAAGAACTCGGCGTCTCGATCCTCCAGGACCTCCACCGGCAGCGGGAAGTTCTCCAGCACTCGAAGAACACCGTAAGTTTTGCGCTTGATCACAACTTAGATCGAAATCGTGTCTGTTCTTGGATGATCCAGTTGCATGGAGTGGACGACAACATCGCCCGGGGCAAAGTCATCATCCACAACATCAGCCGGAGGATCACCAGGAACAAGTACATTATGGCAGGTCTGATCATCTTCCTCTTGCTTGCCATCCTCGTCATTGCCACGGGCAAGAGGCACCAAGGTTGACACCCACAGCTAACTTGGTTTTCCATCCGAGCAGCAATCCAAAAACCCATCCTCGCACTGAAAGAAACTCCACAGCCATCGTCGAGCGCCGCCGAGATCTCGAGCGAGCAGCAGCACCACCAAAAGCGTTCTTCGTCGGCTTGATCTGATCTACTTCCAACTCTAAAACATCGCGTCCTCCTCGTCGGCTTGATCTGATCTACTTGCAACTCTAGAACATCGCGTCCCTGTTCTTCGTCGGCTCGATCTGGTCTTAGAACATCGCGTCCTGGAAGCTGATCCTCTTCTTGGCCGAGGAGCTCCCGACCCTCTGGAGAGAAACTTCCAGCTGCAAAGGCCCCTTGCTTGGGAACATATGTGCCGGAACCACCAGGAAATCCATGGGCTGCCTGCTCTGCGAGAAAGTCTGTGCCACGCTCTCGAACAGCAGCCTCTTCTTCCCATTCTTGAGCTCCACCTGGTAGAGATACTCGTCCGGTGCCGCGGCTCCAAAGTAAGTCACGTAGAGCGAGCTCCCGAGAGAATGCTTGTCCTGGTGGAGTAAGAAGCACAGCCCTTCAACCTTAAGCAGGAAGAACGCCGCCTCTGGCCCCGCGAGGAAGAGCGTGCACCGAGCTTCCCACGAGAAATCGTAGCGCGCCACCTGATGGGCCTCGACGATGTGCGCCAGGAGATCTCTGGTTGGAGCCGAGACGTTGCAGGGCTTGATCGGGCAGGCGCACGGCCGGAATTCGCAGCTCCTCTCGTGGATCGCCTTGTGGACGAACTTGGGCATGGCGCCGCAGCCGTGGTCCGCGAACTTGCAGCTCACGCTCAGCGTCTCGATGAGCTTCTCGATGGCCAGGCAGCGGATCGATCCCAGCGGCTTGGAGCACGTCGGGCACACGTCGCTGATCTTGGAGCGGCAGCTCTGGCAGGCGATGTGGCCGTTCGAGCACTGCGAGAGGGATATTTCACCGAGAATCAATGCCAAGAACATGGAAATCGATCGAATATCGGTACCTGGAAGATCGGCGGGGTCAGGGATTCCATACACACGCTGCAATCGAGCGTATCCACATCCAGCGTCGCAAGAACAGCACCGTCCGCCATCGCCGTGCTCGCAGAGGCAGCCGGCGCCACAGGCGCCGAGGGAATGGACATCATCGGCATCGCCATTGCCATAGCAGACGTCTCCCCGTCGGGCGTCGAGATCCGCAAGCGCTTCGAGGCAATTGTCTGTGTGGAAAATCGCACCATTTCTAGGTCCAAAGGAAACGGACTAAAAATGAAGAACCCTAAATGCCAAGAATATACTCTTGCGAAGAGCCCTAGAGCTTTTGGGGAAGCCCTAGCCGCCGCATCAAAGAGCTAGCGCCAGCGCCTTGCATCATGACTGTCAAGCGGCGGAATGGCGGCCGCAACAAGCACGGCCGCGGCCATGTCGATCCAATCCGGTGCTCCAATTGTGGGCGCTGCGTCCCCAAGGTATGACATCTAGATCTCTCTTTGCCGGCGGAGCTGAGATTTCGCCTCCAGGACAAGGCCGTGAAGCGCTTCCTTGTCAGGAACATCGTGGAGCAGGCAGCGGTGCGCGATGTGCAAGACGCTTGCGTCTACGAATGTAAGCAGCTCAATTTTTTTCTCTGGAGGCTTGTTTGATGACCAATGTCTTGGTTCTTGCAGCTTACACGCTCCCCAAGCTCTACGGGAAAATGCAGTACTGCGTCTCCTGCGCGATCCACTCTCACGTCGTGCGCGTCCGATCGAGAGAGAAGAGAAGGGACCGAAACCCGCCAGTGCGACCCTTCCAGAGGCGCAAGGTTTGAAAGCCATAGATTTGGGAATTTCTTACGAGCGTTCTCTCGTGGTGTTTGTAGGAGGACTTTGTTCCTCGACCTGGTGGCCCTGGTGCTGCTGGAGGTCCTGGCGGTCCTGGAGCTCCGCGTCCACCACCGCCCCGATAAATCGGTCAGCACGAAAATTTGCTCCTCTTCCTTTCCGGCTAACGAAGAGAGAGTTATCTTTTGTTTGGAATGGCTTTCTTAATCTCATATGGAAGTTTTTGTTGCTTGTGATCAATCGCTTGATTCTTCCAGCTTTGATGTGATCTGCGAAGATCTCATACCCTCTGGGTCTGAAATCTTCGCTCGCAAGTTTGGCGGCATGAGCAACACGATTTAAACCTTGTCACTCCTAGCCTTATGCTAAATCCCAATGCTTGCCGGGTCCGACGAATCCATCGACAGTGCCGAATCTAGAGTCGTGTAGACACACTCCACATCTGTGCCTGTTCCAACGCAGTCCATCTCAAAACTGGCCGGGAACCTTCATCCATTTGGGGTCTGGAGGATTTACTGACGGATTTGTGCTCGACGAATTCATCCTCGCTCTCGACTTTCCTGCAAAAACTCGTGCCTGGATCGAATGGTTCTTTGATAATGGCAAAGGAAGATACAACGCATTCGAATGCTCAAACCCAATAGTAATCAAATGGCTGCTTACAGAGATAAAGACTTTAGAGCTTGAGAAACCTTTGTTTAAACAAGCTGGACACCATATCTTTCTCGATCTTCCTCGACCAAGAGCTGCTTCCACCCCCTATTACTCCATTCCATGAGTTTATACCACTTTGTTGGCTTGAGCAACGCGATGTAAACCTTGTCATTCACAGCCTTCATGCTAAAGATCACTACTGGAACATATGTCGGATCTCCCACCCATGCTGTAGGTGGATCCTCCTGTGGATCATCGATTCTCAAGCACGCAAGCTCCTTGAGACTACTCTCCACCACTTCCAAAAGCCGGAGGAGCCCGCGCGTGGGATCATAGCGAGCAACTAAGAACCCATCCTGCCACTTCTCAAGCCTCATCTCTGACGTTGGTCTAGACTCCCCAGTAACAGCAGCGCCAAGCTCCACAATGGTCTTGTACTCATCTTCTAGCTCATCGTACTTGACCACCCGGTTAGCTCTCAACCCGTACCATTCACCCCCGTGAGAAACTGGGCTGTTGACGAACTCCTGTGCCATGCAATCGACTTCCTCCCACCCATTGATGCTCGAGTCGAAGACCGACAAGAAGTGGAGCTCGATTCCAAGCAACGCAGTCGACATCATGGGCACAGCAAGCTTGAATCGTCTCGGGTCACTCTTGTCAATCGCTATGGCCATTCCACCATTGGGAGCATGTTGTAAGGATTCAAAGCTAGGCAAAGCCTTCACCCGTCTGCTGAAGAGATCGCACACAAGCACCGTCCATATCCCCGATAACCTCCTCGTACTCCCAAACAGGAAGTAAGCGAGGTTGCTCTCGCGATCGTAGGCCATTTCGTTTTGATACTGAAGAGAACTAAAACCATCCTTGACAGTCTGCGCGGACGCAAATTCCATCACAAAGTCCAATGGCGTCGCCTTCAGTAACACTTCCCCATCACGACTTCTTGGGAGAACAAAGAAGAGCTGGATCAATTCCTTGCCCTCGGGCTCTTCCAACTCGGACTCTGAACTTTCCGAGGAACTTCCTTCATTGAAAATTGTACACCCTTGGACTTGCCAAAACCCTGAGCGTAGTATGCTATGCACGCATGCTGCCCATTCCTTGGAAACTAACCTAGCATTGCCCAAATCCTCCATGGGAACCATCTCTAGAATTTCCCGAAGGAGTTGCCTAAACACCGCCTTCATCGCCCCAAAAGCCCTGTTTTTGCCCTAAAATTTGGAAATTTTGCCTTACACTTTGGATATTTTAGGGCTGAAACCAAGATCTCCAAACCTATATTATTAATAGGAGCTACTTTTAAGGTTTTAATCAAGAGTTTTGCTATTGTTTAATTTTCGACCCACTTACAAGATAAAAGTGTGATCGTAGCTCCCAAAATTTGAGCGCCATTGAGGCTTTCATCCAAAACAAGATATCTACAAACAAGAAGCTTTTAAATCATGGAAGAAATGCTCCACGCTTACTTAAAAAAAGCCGCAAACATTGGCGTGAGAAATGTCAAAGAACTCAGCTTCGTGAGGCTCCCTGCAGAACTCACACACTCAAAACTTTCAATCGTGCTAGAGTCGAAGAAAATCCTTCCTTTTCTCTCACCTTTGGTGGCGTTGTAGAAGAACACACCATAGCTTATGGCACTAAAGACCGAGGTGTAAGCTAGAGAAGCCCAGTCACTAACCATGAGATCTTCCAAGTGACCATTCAAGGCGGGCTCGTTGTTAGACGCTGCGAGGAGTAACAATGGCAAGCCACCAATTATCATATGCTGCGAGAAAAAACAAAACAGAGTTTTTCGAGCTTGAAAGTTTCATGGTTTGCGTACCCAGCCAGTTGCCATGATCGGATCCGAGAACTTGCACACCCAGCGAACCAAGAGCGTGCCAAGGGCCATGCTTTGAGCAGCGAGGAGCATGTACCACTCTCCGCTGCTCCAAAAACTGGAGGAGAATTCTATGCCACCACCGGAGGAAAGCAGTGCTCCCAAGGATTCAGCTGGAACCTGTGGCAAATTCCAGTGAGACGATGCAAGAACTATGAAGCTTGTGATCACCTCCAGCAGCAAAAGTCCCGCTACGCCTAGAAGAAGTCCCAAAACTCCCAGAGGCTTGATCGTTTCGTTGAACAGGATCGACGCGAGAATGGCTACTGTCAAAGGCTGCGAATCTATGATAACCTGCATGAATTCTAAGTGAGAAAAGAACGTAAAAATCCAGTTTTTGATTCTATGATCGCAAGAACTTACACTTCCAAGTCCAGCGCTTGTTTTCCCAAGTCCTGCTGCTAGGAATCCCTGGACAGTGTTCGAAGTGAATGAAACAAATCGAGGAGAAAACTCCGCAAACCTGGAAGCACGACGCATCGACGATGCTGAAGATGAGAATGTTAAGCCATGATACAGCCCCGACGGCTGCTTCCGGCCTCGCAAGCTCGCAAATCCGACTAGCAGCAATCCCGCCGGGACAAGCCGCGTCGATGCAACGAAGTAAGGTCCCGCCTTTGGAAGAACTCCTTTCATGGCCACCATAGCCGTGCCCCAGAAAAAGAACGGAGATATCAGGAGGAGATTGTCTAGCAGCGCTGTGTCTAAAGCTCCCGAGCTCCCGGTTTGATCCATTCTCTTCTCGGCGCTGCTGAAAGCTTTGCCGCTGCTTGCTATGAATTCTGGACGAGACAGTGCCGCTGAATCTAAAGTCGCTCTCCAAGTCCGTGTAGACACACTCCACATCTGTGCCTGTTCCAACGCAGTCCATCTCCTCAAAACTGGCCGGGAACCTTCATCCATTTGGGGTCTGGAGGATTTACTGACGGATTTGTTCTCGACGAATTCACCCTCGCTCTCGACTTTCTTGCAAAAACTCGTGCCTGGATCGAATGGTTCTTTGATAATGGCAAAGGAAGATACAACGCATTCGAATGCTCAAACCCAATAGTAATCAAATGGCTGCTTACAGTGATAAAGACTTTAGAGCTTGAGAAACCTTTGTTTAAACAAGCTGGACACCATATCTTTCTCGATCTTCCTCGACCAAGAGCTGCTTCCACCCCCTATTACTCCATTCCATGAGTTTATACCACTTTGTTGGCTTGAGCAACGCGATGTAAACCTTGTCATTCACAGCCTTCATGCTAAAGTTCACTACTGGAACATATGTCGGATCTCCCACCCATGCTGTAGGTGGATCCTCCTGTGGATCATCGATTCTCAAGCACGCAAGCTCCCTGAGACTACTCTCCACCACTTCCAAAAGCCGGAAGAGCCCGAGCGTGGGATCATAGCGAGCAACTAAGAACCCACCCTGCCACTTCTCAAGCCTCATCTCTGACATTGGTCTAGACTCCCCAGTAACAGCAGCGCCAAGCTCCACAATGGTCTTGTACTCATCTTCTAGCTCATCGTACTTGACCACCCGGTTAGCTCTCAACCCGTCCGTACCATTCACCCCCGTGAGAAACTGGGCCTCCCACCCATTGATGCTCGAGTCGAAGACCGACAAGAAGTGGAGTTCGATTCCAAACAAGGCAGCCGACATCATGGGCACAACAAGCTTGAATCGTCTCGGGTCACTCTTGTCAATCGCTATGGCCATTCCACCATTGGGAGAATGTTGTAAGGATTCAAAGCTAGGCAAAGCCTTCACCCGTCTGCTGAAGAGATCGCACACAAGCACCGTCCATATCCCCGATAACCCCCTTGTACTCCCAAACAGGAAGTAAGCGAGGTTGCTCTCGCAATCGTAGGCCATTGCGTTTTGATACTGAAGAGAACTAAAACCCTCCTTGACTGTCTGCGTGGATGCAAATTCCATCACAAAGTCCAATGGCATTGCCTTCAGTAACACTTGCCCATCACAACTTCTTGGAAGAACAAAGAAGAGCTGGATCAATTCTTTGCCCTCGGGCTCTTCCTCCAAGGAACTTCCTTCATTGAAACTTGTACACCTTTGGATTTGCCAAAACCCTGAGCATAATATACTATGCACACATGCTGCCCATTCCTTGGAAACTAAGCTCACATTGCCCAAATCCTCCATGGAAACCATCTCTAGAATTTCCCGAAGGAGTTGCCTAAACACCGCCGTCATCGCCCCAAAAACCCTAGAATATTTTAGGGCTGAAACCATATTAATAGGAGCTACTTTTGAGGCTTTAATCGAGAATTTTGCTATTGTTTAATTTTCGACTCAGGGGCCTTGCATTTACAAGATAAATTCCAGCAAGTGTGATCGTAGCTCCCAAAATTTGAGCGCCATTGAGGCTTTCATCCAAAACAAGATATCTACAAACAAGAAGCTTTTAAATCATGGAAGAAATGCTCCACGCTTACCCAAAAAAAGCCGCAAACATTGGTGTGAGAAATGTCAAAGAACTGAGGCTCCCTGCAGAACTCACAAACTCGAAACTTTCAATCGCGCTAGAGTCGAAGAAAATCCTTCCTTTTCTCTCACCTTTGGTGGCGTTGTAGAAGAACACACCATAGCTTATAGCACTCCCAAAGATCGAGGTGTAAGCTAGAGAAGCCCAGTCACTAACCATGAGATCTTCCAAGTGACCATTCAAGGCGGGCTCGCTGTTAGACGCTGCGAGGAGTAACAATGGCAAGCCACCAATTATCATATGCTGCAAGAAAAAACAAAACAGAGTTTTTCGAGCTTGAAAGTTCCATGGTTTGCGTACGCAGCCAGTTGCCATGATCGGATCCGAGAACTTGCACACCCAGCGAACCAAGAGCGTGCCAAGGGCCATGCTTTGAGCAGCAAGGAGGATGTACCGCTCCATTGCTTTCCTCCGGTGATGACATAGAATTCTCCTCCAGTTTTTGGAGCAGTGGACTCCCAAGGATTCAGCTGGATGCTGCTGGAGGTGATCAAAAGCTTCATAGTTCTTGCATCGTCTCACTGGAATTTGCCACAGGTGAAGCCCCGCTTTGCCTAGAAGAAATCCCAAAACTCCTAGAGGCCTGATCGTTGCGTTGAAGAGGATCGACGCGAGAATGGCTACTGTCAAAGGCTGCGAATCTATGATAGTCTGCATGAATTTTCTAGGAAGTAGAAATCCAGCTTTTGATCTTATGATCTCAAAAACCTACACTTCCAAGTCCTTTTCCCAAGTAGAATGAAACAACCTGTCAAAACTAATTCTAGGAGTTATCATAAGACTATAGTTTTACATGGCGTGCATTATAACATGAGGCATCGAAATGCAATGAGTTCTCTCTTTTTTCTTCCTATGGACGCAAGAGATCGCATAGAGGGCCAGGTCTCGAAAAGAAAACTACTTTTTTTTTAAAACCTTTGTTTAAACAATGGACAGCATATCTTCCTTCAGCTTCCTCGACCAAGAGCTGCTTCCACTCCCCATTACTCCATTCCATGAGTTTATACCACTCTGTTGTGAGCAATGCGATATAAACCTTGTCATTCATAGTTTTCATGCTAAATTCCAGATCTGTCGACGGTGGATCCTCATGTGGATCATCGATTCTCAAGCACGCAAGCTCCTTGAAACTACTCTCCACCACTTCCAAAAGCCGGAGGAGCCCGCTCGTGGGATCATAGCGAGCAACTAAGAACCCATCCTGCCACTTCTCAAGCCTCATCTCTGACGGTGGTCTAGACTCCCCAGTAACAGCAGCGCCAAGCTCCACAATGATCTTGTACTTCTCACCTTCTAGCCCATCGTACTTGACCACCCGCTTACGTCTCAACCCGTACCATTCACCCCCGTGAGAAACTGGGCTGTTAACGAAATCCTGTGCCATGCGATCGACTTCCTCCCACCCATTGATGCTCGAGTCGAAGACCGACAAGAAGTGGGATTCGAATCCATGCAACACAGACGACATCATGGGCACAACAAGCTTGTATCGTCTCGCGTCACTCTTGTCAATCACTATGGCCATTCCACCCTTGGGATCATGTCCCAAGGATTGAAAGCTAGGCAAAGCCTTCACCTGTCTGTTGAAGAGATCGCACACAAGCACCGTCCATAGCGTCCTGAACCTGTGCGTACTCACAAACAGGAAGTAAGCGAGGTTGCTCTTGTGATCGTAGGCCATATTGCCTTCATAAGCAAGAGGATCAAATCCCTCCTCAACACTCTGCGTGGACGCAAATTCCACCACAAAGTCCAGCGGCATCGCCTTCAGTAACACTTCCCGATCATGACTTCTTGGGAGAACATAGAAGAGCTGCTTCAACTCCTTGAGCCGGGGCTTCTCCAAGGAACTTCCCTCACTGAAAATTATACACCTTTCGACTTGCCAAAAGCCTGAGCGTAGAATGCTATGCACACATGCTGCCCATTCCTTTGAAACTAACCTTACACTGCCCAAATCTTCCATGGGAACCATCTCTAAAATTTCCTGAAGGAGTTGTCCTTCATCGCCCCAAAACCCTTCATATTTTAAGGATATTTTAGGGCTGAAACCACAGATATATACTCTGTTGGATTAAGGCTTTAATCAAGAATTTTGCTATTGTTTAATTTTCGACTCAGGGGGCCTTGCATTTACAAGATAAATACCAGCGAGTGTGATCGTAGCTCCCAAAATTTGAGCGCCATTGAGGCTTTCATCCAAAACAAGATATCTACAAACAAGAAGCTTTTAAATCATGGAAAAAATGCTCCACGCTTACCCAAAAAAAGCTGCAAACATTGGTGTGAGAAATGTCAAAGAACTCAGCTTCGTGAGGCTCCCTGCAGAACTCACAAACTCAAAACTTTCAATCGCGCTAGAGTCGAAGAAAATCCTTCCTTTTCTCTCACCTTTGGTGGCGTTGTAGAAGAACACACCATAGCTTATAGCACTCCCAAAGATCGAGGTGTAAGCTAGAGAAGCCCAGTCACTAACCATGAGATCTTCCAAGTGACCATTCAAGGCGGGCTCGTTGTTAGACGCTGCGAGGAGCAACAATGGCAAGCCACCAATTATCATATGCTGCGAGAAAAAACAAAACAGAGTTTTTCGAGCTTGAAAGTTTCATGGTTTGCGTACCCAGCCAGTTGCCATGATCGGATCCGAGAACTTGCACACCCAGCGAACCAAGAGCGTGCCAAGGGCCATGCTTTGAGCAGCGAGGAGCATGTACCACTCTCCGCTGCTCCAAAAACTGGAGGAGAATTCTATGCCACCACCGGAGGAAAGCAGTGCTCCCAAGGATTCAGCTGGAACCTGTGGCAAATTCCAGTGAGACGATGCAAGAACTATGAAGCTTGTGATCACCTCCAGCAGCAAAAGCCCCGCTACACCTAGAAGAAGTCCCAAAGCTCCAAGAGGCTTGATCGTTTCGTTGAACAGGATCGACGCGAGAATGGCTACTGTCAAAGGCTGCGAATCTATGATAACCTGCATGAATTCTAAGTGAGAAAAGAACGTAAAAATCCAGTTTTTGATTCTATGATCGCAAGAACTTAACACTTCCAAGTCCAGCGCTTGTTTTCCCAAGTCCTGCTGCTAGGAATCCCTGGACAGTGTTCGAAGTGAATGAAACAAATCGAGGAGAAAACTCCGCAAACCTGGAAGCACGACGCATCGACGATGCTGAAGACGAGAATGCTAAGCCATGCATACAGCCCCGACGGCTGCTTCCGGCCTCGCAAGCTCGCAAATCCGACTAGCAGCAATCCAGCCGGGACAAGCCGCGTCGATGCAACGAAGTAAGGTCCGGCCTTTGGAAGAACTCCTTTCATGGCCACCATAGCCGTGCCCCAGAAAAAGAACGGCGATATCAGGAGGAGATTGTCTAGCAGCACTGTGTTTAAAGCTCCCGAGCTCCCGGTTTGATCCGTTCTCTTCTCGGCGCTGCTGAAATCTTTGCTGCTGCTCGCTGGGTCCGATGAATCGATCGCTCTGGACGAGACAGTGCCGCCGAATCTAAAGTCGCTCTCCAAGTCCCTGTAGACACACTCCACATCTGTGCCTGTTCCAACGCAGTCCATCTCCTCAAAACTGGTCGGGATTTTTCTCCCATTTTCGAGCAGCTCGGGTTTGCCGACGAATTTGGTCTCGACGATTTCAGCTTCGCTCTCGACTTTCTTGCAAAACACTCGAAACTCGTGTCTGGATCGTATGATTCTTTGATGGTGGCACTGATCCAAGCAAGATATAACGCATTCATCTCAAACCCAGATGGAAAATCTCTTACCGGGAAGAAAGCTCTCCCGAGAAGGGAGCTCGCATCCTTGACAGGCAGCCGAATTCCTCTGTGAATCCTGGAAGCGCCCAAATGGCTCGAGGCAGCCATAGCTGCCACGATACACGATACCTCGGATCAAATGCCGCCGTTGGATCTTCATTTTGAATGAATCTCCGTAAACCCTAAGAGAAATCTTCGCTTGCCACGATCGAACCCGCGACCTCGAACAGCCTTGCCACGTGGCAGCTTCCTTCTTCTTCTTTTTTTCCAGTATAAAGCAAGTATTTCGAAAGCCCTAACAGACAGGTCAGGTAGCGCAAAAATCTGCGCGTTGCTTCTTTGCTCCTCTTCTACGATCGCGGCGCTAGGTCGATTCTTTGATTCTCTCAGTGATCAGCATTGCAGTCAATCAGCGCCGGATTCTATGAAATCGCCATCAGCGAATGCGAGATGAGAAGGACATGCGACGTTCGTGATCGGTGTCGCCATGTCCGGCACGGTTCTTGCAGTACAGGAGCCCTCTCCAGTTCTAGGGCAGCTTTCTCGAAATGCACAGTGAGTTCTCTCTTCTTTTTTCTCCCTTGTTCTTTGGCTTCTTTGTTTTCTTCTCATTGCTGTGGAAAAATGGACTCTTTAGAGTATCGTATGATATGCAAGAAAGGCGAAGGCACCTTCTCGGAGGTGCTGAAAGCACAATGCCACAAATCCAACAAATATGTAGCTATCAAATGTATGAAGAACACTTTCGACAGTTTAGAACAGGTGACTTATCTGTTTATCCTCTTTTCTTTTTCTCATCCGTGTAGTTTATCTCATTTGCTCAGGTAACCAATCTCCGAGAAATCCAGGCTTTGCAGAGGCTTTCACCTCACACGAATGTGATAAAGCTCTTGGAAGTTCTCTAGTAAGATAACCATTCGCTTTGTTTAAATGCGGTGCTTACGTTCGTCAGTAATGTTTTTTCTGCAGCGATCAGCCTACGGGAAGGTTAGCGTTAGTTTTCGAGCTCATGGACATGAACATCTACGAATTGATCCGCGGGAGGCGAACCTATGTCTCCGAAGACCGGATCAAGAGCTATATGTTTCAGCTCTTAAAAGGTATGCTGACTGTTACAACGCTGAGCTGACAGATGCTTTCTTCTTCAGCAATGGATCACATGCACAGAAACGGTATTTTCCATCGAGACATAAAGCCAGAAAACATCTTAATCATGGAAGAATCCCTCAAGGTACTGTGTTTCTCAGCTGTAACCTGTGTGGTTCTAATGTTTTTTACATGTGAATTGCAGCTTGCAGACTTGGGAAGTTGTCGAGGTGTTTATTCAAAGCAGCCATACACTGAATACATCTCGACAAGATGGTAACAAACTCGCTGAGGCTTCTTTTTTTTTTTTTGCGACAAGATGGTAACCAGAAAATTAATAATCCGAGTTTTGCTCAATTTCTCGTTTTTAAGCATAAACTGCAGGTATCGAGCCCCGGAATGCCTTCTTACAGACGGCTACTACAATTACAAAATGGATATGTGGGGAGTTGGATGCGTCTTTTTCGAGATTATTAGCTTGTTTCCTCTTTTTCCAGGTATATTCTCGTGTGGAAGCATCAAACAGGACTCATCTGCTCTTTCCAGGAACTAATGAGCTGGATCAAATACAAAAAATTCATAAAGTCATGGGAACACCTCCACAGCAGCTGCTAGACAAAATGAGGAGGTATTAGATCCGTTTTTCGGCTTTGTTTCCAATGTCTCTGTTTTGTCAGCAGGAGATCTCAGCATGCGGACTTTAAGTTCCCCCAGCAAGACGGGACTGGGATCGCAAGGCTCATTCCTCATGCGTCACCGGCTTGCGTTGAGCTTCTAAACAAACTCCTTGCTTATAACCCGGATGACAGGTTTGTGAATTTGCTTGCAACTAAACATGTCAGTAATTTTTTTGTAGCAGGATATCGGCCAGGCAGGCGCTGAGACATCCTTACTTCAAGGAGCTGCGCGAGAAGGAAAAGCTACAGCAGGCCTTTGCGAATGCTAACAGGGCTAACAGTCTGCGGCCGTCACCAAGGTACTGGCAGAAAGCTCGGTTTCGCACTTTGTAAAACTTTTATCCATTGCAGTCATCGCAGACTAGCCATGCACGACGTTTCCCCTCAAAAGTCGAAAGACGAGGATGCAAAGCTGCAAGGCCTGGGGACTGGGAATCCGAGTGCCGCAAGCACACCACGATCAATGGCTAGTACACAGCTTCCGTGCCTCAACGTGAATAGCAAAGCTAAAGAGGTACTACGCTATTGTTTTGTCGTGAGGTTTTTCTCAGTTACGTTTTAGCTTTCACAGGACGGGAAAGACACAGGTGGTTCCAGTCCTTTATCTCATGCTGGGGATTCGCGAACGCCAGCGACGTTAACTTCTGTTGGCTCCGCTGTATCAGTGAATGTTGGTGGAGCTACAGACGCTGGGAGTTCGTGCATGGATTTAGACGGCGGCGGCGGCGGCGGCGGGTGTAGCAGCTCTACTCATGGATTGCCACCGATCAAGAACAGCTATACGTTGTCCATGCTTTCTCCAAAGCCGCAGCTCTCAAGTCTACACAGGCACTCACATTATCATTCACCAAAGGTACTCCCCTTTTGTTTCTTTCTTTGAGACTGATGGTCCTTGCCTCAGGCACATAGTGTCAAAGGTGTGAAGATCGTGAAAGGCACCAAGAGCCACCGTGTTCTTCCGGAGCTATCGCCCAAGAGCATCTCCGGAGGATACAAGCCCGGGGAGCCGCCGCCTTACAAGAAGCGAGCCAATTCCAAGTAAGGGAGCTTCGTTTTGTTTGTCAATTCTCCAATCAATTTCTCACAAATGTTTGTCATTCCAGGTACACAAGTCCATACTCGCAAAAGTATATCAATCACCTCGCAGCGACATTGGTTTGACAAAAAAAAATGCGAGACTTTTGCTTGCCATCGACAAAAAGGAAAAGCCAATTTTTCTCTGTATAATCAAACAAGGGAGAGCACATTATATTTGTTGGCATGAGGAGCAGAAAACTACGTGCAATTCATGGAAAGGACTTACTGCCTCATTGGCATACTTTTTACTCTCATTCTTTTACCAGCGAGTCGCGCAGTAGATCTTCAATATGGCGGAATTCGAAGGCTAACAAGGCCAATCGCAACGATAGTAATGACAGCGATTAGAGACCTCATCCAAAAATCCACAAGATCGCCTTGGCTATCAATGGGCTATAGCTTCACACGGAGCATTCCTGTCGGAGGAGGATACTTCGTCCATATAAGGATTTGGATCACTGTTCCTCTTCGCAATGGGCTCACAGCCTTCGCTCCATCGTCTTTCCAAGAATCGACGCTGGAAATTCGGCAACAGCTCTTTGATATTCTCCGCTACGTTTGGGAGTTTGTGGTCGGCATGCGCATGGAATTTATGAGCGCCGTGGAGGGAATCTATGGAATCGAGTACCACCGCACCACAAATCCCCGCGACGAGCTGCTTAGTGTTAATCACGCCGCTTATAATCGCTTCCAAAGCGTGGTTGGCAGTGGCAGCGAGAGCGTCTCTAAGACCAACTTAGTGAGTAACACGCCGTTTAAGTACCTGCGCGATTCGCTAATCTCCACCAGCCTTCGCTATAAGCTGGAGATGCGAGGCGGCTGTTACCTCGTGTTGTACGACACAGCTTTTCACGACGATATTTGGACCAGTGGCACGTACGGACTTGGCTATGGATGCTTTGTGGAGCTCGAGCCCAGCCCTAACCTGGCGATCTATGACGAAGGTGGGAAGCTCGTGAGGTATCTCTACGAATCTGGCTGTGACAACTGCGATCGATCGTCGGCGCTGGTCGTCCAGGACGATGGGAATGTGGTGCTCTACCTGACCGACACTGGCGAGGCGATCTGGGCTACCGGGACGAATCGCTGAGCCAGGAAATGGATTTTCTGTGAGAACATCCGAGCAATCCAGATTCTCCTGTGCAAAAATTCGAGCGCATTGTTTCCCTCTCTCAAATGTTCACGCTGGGATCCTCTAGACGTGGCTCCCGGCGGGCGGCTCTCCGGATTTCCTCCGCCACGGCCCTGTAATCGGCGGCCTGTGCGACGATCACAGCTGTGAGATCGATCTGGGACGCAATCTACGTACTGTGTTGAGGCCGAATGCTCCGCCCAGGAGCCCTAGGAACCCACAAGCTCCAGCTCCCACGTAGAGCGTCGCGATCCCCAGGGCCTTGCTCGCGATCGCCGCTCCGGATCCATGCGCGCCGGAATGCTTGAGCTTCCTGGCAACCAACAGCTGTGAAATCGACAATCCCGAGTAGATTGCCGGCAAACAGCACGTATCGGCGATCTTCGCCATAGCCAGAGCTTTAGGGTTTAGCGAAGACTTTATTGACTTTGATTGACTTTGCATTGAAAGAAAACTATTAGTAAAACCATAACTTTTATGATGTTATCAATTCAACTTGTATGAAATCCTGTTGTTCTTGGCTTTGATTCCCGTGAGCTCAACTTTGAAATTGTTTGTTAAACTTTACAACAATAGACCAATTCTTTGTTTGTTTCGCCAATGTATTGCTATATAAATCACCTTGCACTACTATGCGTGACTTTTGTTTTGCACTTTTGTTAGAAAGAGCCCCATTTTCTCTGTCAATCAAACAAGGCTAAATAACAAAACAAGGAAAAAATTTCATCGTTGACAATAGCAACCATAATTTTCTGAAAGTGTTTCGAGCTGATTATAAAATTAATACTAACTACATCCTCCATGGGGCGATTTAGTTGCATCGCCATAGTTCTCATTCTTATTTTCTCACCAGTGTGTGGAGTTTATATAGAATGGGGTGGCAGTAGTGCGCTATCGAGATCGATAGTAACCGTCATAGTTACCGCGATTAGAAATCTCATCATGGTTAGCACAAGAAGGCCTTGGATATCAACAGCCTTTAGCATTACACGAAGCATTCCTATCGGAGGAGGACACTTCGTCCATATAAGAATTTGGATCACTACCCCTCTTCGCAATGGCCTCACAGCCTTCTCTCCATTTTCTTCCCAAGTATCGGCCTTGGAAATTCGACGCGATCTATTGGATATTCTCCGCAACATTTGGGAAGTTGTGGTTGCAGAAGGAGTCGAATTTATGAGTGCCGTGGAGGGAATCTATGGAATCGAGTACCACCGATCTACAAATCCCCGTGACGAGCTGCTTGGCGTTAATCCCGCCGCACACTACCAAAGCGTGCTTAGCAGTGGCAGCGAGAGCGTCTCTAAGACCAACTTAGTGAGTAACACGCCGTTTAAGTTCCTGCGTGATTCGCTAATCTCCACCAGCCTTCGTTATAAGCTGGAGATGCGAGGCGGCTGTTACGTCGCGTTGTACGACAGAGATTTCCGGGATGATATTTGGACCAGTGGGACGTACGGACTTGGCTATGGATGCTTCCTGGAGCTCGAGCCCAGTCCTAACCTGGCGATCTATGACGAAGGTGGGAAGCTCGTGAGGTATCTCTACGAATCCGGCTGTGACAAGTGCGATCGATCGTCGGCGCTGGTCGTCCAGGACGATGGGAATGTGGTGCTCTATTTGACCGACACTGGTGAGGCGATCTGGGCTACCGGAACGAATCGCTGAACGAATTTTTATCCAGGAAATCGATTATTCATCCAGCGGCATTCCATCTCTCTTTCACCTTGTTCGTGCTCAAATCAAATGTTCACGCTGGGATCCTCTAGACGTGGCCACGGCGGCGACCTCTAGACGATCATAGCAATCTCTTGTTTTAGGGCTAAAGTTGAAGGTAGTTAGGAGATTTTTGGATCTTTGGATAATAATGTCGATGGATATTACTCTTAAAATGTCTTTAAATGCATAAACAAGACCTAGAACTCTTTGTTTTGTTGTATTGCTCGTCCATATCGCAAAAGGATACAATTACGCATGACTTTTGATTGCTAGACAAGAAGAGGAGCTCCATTTTCTCTGTGAATCAAAGAAAAGAAAACAACAAAACAAGGATTATCGTTGAAACATGTTGGGCTATAAACATGGGGTATTAATATTTGAACTACATGCTTCATGGGTCGATCTAATCATCTTGACAACATCGCCATAGTTCTCATTCTTATCTTTTCACCAGTGTGTTGCGCAGTTGAAATAAAATGGGGTGGCAGTAGCGAGCTATCAAGAAACGTGGTAACGATCATATTTACTGCGATTAGAGATCTCATCCAGGCTACCACAAGAAGGCCTTGGATATCAACGGCCTTTAGCATTACACACAGCATTCCTATAGGAGGATACGTTGTCCGTATAAGAATTTGGATCACTGCCCCTATTCGCAATGGCCTCACAGCCTTCACTCCATTTTCTTCCCGAGAATCGGCCTTGGAAATTCGACGCCAATTCTACGATATTCTCTACCGCATTTGGGCACTTGTGGTCGCCGAAGGCGTGGAATACATGACTGCCGTGGAGGGAACCTATGGAATCGAGTACCACCGCAGAAATTCCCGCGACGAGCTGCTTAGTTTTCAGCCCGCAACTCTCTCCCAAAGCGTGGCTAGCAGTGGCAGCGAGAGCGTCTCTAAGGCCAACTTAGTGAGTAACACGCCGTTTAAGTACCTGCGCGATTCGCTAATCTCCACCTGCCTTCGCTATAAGCTGGAGATGCGAGGCGGCTGTTACGTCGCGTTGTACGACAAAGATTTGCGCGACGATATTTGGACCAGTGGCACGTACGGACTTGGCTATGGATGCTTCGTGGAGCTCGAGCCCAGCCCTAACCTGGCGATCTATGACGAAGGTGGGAAGCTTGTGAGGTATCTCTACCAATCGGGCTGCGATAACTGCGATCAATCATCAGCGCTTGTCGTCCAGGACGATGGGAATGTGGTGCTCTATCTGACCGACACTGGGGAGGCGATCTGGGCTACCGGGACCAATCGCTGAGAAATCTAAGCTTCTAAAATTCGAGAAATCGTTTTAAGTCCCAATGTCTCAATTAGGATTTAGGGTTTATGGTTTCTAGGGCAGAAGAAGAATGGCGCACTCTCTCCGCCTGATCGCGCGGCGCGGCGCGCAATGCCGGGGCAGGACGAATGCGCTTGGCAGCGGCGGCGCCGGATCCTTGCTCCGCCGGGATTTCCATGTAAGCGCCCCGAGCTCCAACAACTTCCTCCTCAACAGCCTCTTCCGCTTTGGCGGCCAGTCCTACCAGCAGCAGCAGCAGCAGCAGCAGCAGGCCGCGGCGGAGGCGCCGCCGCCCAAGGAGGAGCGGCGCGCGCGCAAGCCCCGCGAATACATGGAGCGATCGGCCGACACGCTCTCCTATGTCAAGGACCTCAACATCAAGCAGCGCCTCATGGTGAAGAAGTTTATGAACTCGTGCATGCGCCAGGGGAAGAAGACCAAGGCCCGGACGATGTGCTTCAAGGCGTTTGAGCGCCTGGCGAACCACGGCGACGTTCTCCACATCCTGGAGACCGCGGTGGAGAATGTGAAGCCGATCTGCGAGGTCCGGAGGGTGCGCGTCGCCGGGAGCACGCACAACGTCCCCGCGGCCATCCCGCTCCACCGGCAGCAGAGCCTGTCCATGCGCTGGATCGTCCAGGCGGCCAGGAACCGGTTCAAGGCCAAGAAGAAGATGGGCATGCCCAAGGCGCTGGCGGACGAGCTGCTGGATGCGTCCAAGAGAAGCGGCGCGGCGAGGAAGAAGCGGGATGATCTCCACCGGCTGGCCGAGGCGAACAGGACGTTGGCGCACTATCGGTGGTGGTGACGGTCGATCCAAAGCTTGACAATCCAAAAGCTGGTGGGTTCATCCATCCAGAAGTTCTGGTTGACACAGCTCTCCTTTCTCTGAGATCACATTTTCACCGTTTTGGCCGACAATTGGAAGAAAAACTTGTTTCGTTCTTGCTATATACCACAACACCTCCCTCCACGACATGCTGCGTGTGCTTCATCTTCAAGAATCCTCCAACTTTTCTCACATCTCTTGCTGTGCAAAAGAGCTTCACTTCTATGTTCTAGGAGCAATCCTGCCAAATCGCAGCCAACTCTTTTATGTGCTCCATCTCAACATAGCAAGTGGCAACGCAACCATGTCTCCTAAAATACAAATGCACGAGCAGCTCTTTAGCACTGCTCCTCCTGGCCCGGAAAGATTGATCATCCTGTCAATCGAAAGCTTGAAATTAAGAATCACAGACTATTTGTGGTGTCAAACCCGCCAGATATCCTGCTACAAATACCGCGTCTCTAGGAGGATCAAGCTCTTGTTTTTGAGCTCGTCAAGCTCGAGGTACTAGCGGCTATGGCGATGGTGCTGATAACTGGCTGTGCAGAGGGTGGAATCTGCGGATTCAAAGTTTATGCCGCCGTGCAAAGCTTGCGAGCTCTAAACGCTTCAGCTGGACGTGATGAGCGACGAGTCCGTGCCATCCTCCGAGGATGTACAGCAGCCGAGCTTTGCTTTCCAAGTAAACTTCTTGAGGATGTTCCAGGCAGTGGTTCCCAACATGGCGGAGCAAAGGCAGGGCCGGATCATCAACGTCGGCAGGATGTTCGTTGCTTGGAGCTGGCGCCACTGGGGATCCAGATGGTGTTGATTGTCCCCGGCTCCCAGCTTGGAGCTATGGCCTAGTGGAAGCTCATTGCCGAGTGCTGTTGTATTAGAATAAGACGTATATTTTATTTTGTACTTTTAAATACAAATAATATAGTAATTTATGGCATGATAAGGCCTAAATAAAAGGGTTGTGCATTCTACCTGATATATCTTTCTTGCAGCGCTTCCACTGGTTTGTCTGGCATGCATTTTGATTTCAAGATTGATCTCTTGAGTTTGAATTTCTTGAGCTCTGCAGGCCTCCTACCCTAAAACCTCCATGGCTAAGATCTCTCTGGAATCAAATTGATTTGCATCTCAGACATGGTATCCTTGTCAGCCAATGCCCCCCACGGACTTTGCAAGCAGCATTTCACCATCTCTGATTAGGGAACCCATTTTATACTGTCCAGCAGCAAAAAGGCAACTGATCGGTACGAAATGTGAAATATGGAGCCGAAATCAATCAAGAGCGTCTCATGATGCCTTCTTTGTGGCGGCCAGAAGAAGCTTGGCAGCACACAAGAATACTTTTGAGCATGGCTGGCCACCTATGTGGGTGTTCATGACACCACAAAGTTCCTCGAGAGCCAATCGTTCAAACCTCCACACAAAAAATTTCCATGCATCTTTTTAGACATTCCCAAGATTCTGGGTTTCTAATTTCTGGTTCCATGCTCCACAAACATTTGATGTTGCTCTTCACCTTTAATAGCTTACAACCTCAACATAGGAACCACAGATTCTTATTGTTCTGGGTAGCTCCCACGACAGTTACCAAGATTTCGTTGAAGGGTTTAAGTTATGAGATTGGAGTTGCCATTCTTGATGATGGTATGGGTTTGTTTACATAAGTTTGCATAAATGACATCTCCTATCTTTGTGCAATTGATCTTTTCATCAAGTGAGTAGTAAAATACATTAATGACTTTGTGGAGTGGGAAAAGGAGGGTATGAGTCTGTGTGAGAGATTTTCACTCTTATGATTTATCCTTTATGTATAGATAGGGTGTGAGAAAAAATATATGTAAAAAAAGGTTTCTTGGAAGATTTCTATAACATGGTTAAGTCCAATAAACTATTGAAATGCCAAAAATTTATGCACTTAATTAGGAACATGAGAAATTGATAAAGCTAATATTTTACCACAAGAACAACACAATTCACTTGCTCAGAAAAACTATTACAATCAATGCCCACTTTTGCACTCCAATCATTTGTAGTTACTTTTTCACCAATTGATTGCTAACTAAATTAAGTGTGAGAAATGACACTCGTGAGAGCAATTGATGCACCATGCTTTACATTAGGGTGTATTACAATCAAAATATGAGGTAGAACTGCATGAAATGAGAGACAAATACATTTAACATCATGTTGTTTGAGATCACAGGGCATCAAGTCTTGAGTGGGAGTTTAATCCATGGCATATCCTATATGACAAAAATATTTTTTTTATATATATATATATATATATATATATATATATAAAAATTAATCACATTTTAATTGGTTTTATAGCCAATTAAAAATTAATTTTATAAAATTAATTTAAAAACTAATTAAAAAGTGATTTGTGTGCATAATATTTTTGCATAGAACTCAAAACAAAAATTATATCCACACATGTATATATATAATGCTCCAATGTGCAATCACATATTCAATGTTATACCATTTGCCTTTTTCTATTTTATTATCTACACAACCATCCTTATTCGCAGCAATTACCAAACTTTGTGTATTAGGATCAATTCTTTCCCCTCCAAATAAGTTCAACTATTCCATCCAACATTTGGAAAGGTACTTTATGCCATACTCAAAGTATCCATCTGTATCAAAAGCATTTGTAGACACAATATCCCCTATATCTAAAGTCACAGGTATTTTTATCATAGACAATGAAAATTATTTATGGTAATAGTCAAATTTGAAGAAATTGTTTTCTCCTAATTGATTTCAAAGCACCAACAAGGAATTCTTGCAAAACTAAGTGATTATATGCTCCACAAGTCACTGTACCTTTCATTGTGATAAGAGATATGTTTCAAGTCACTGCAGCACGGAACCAAACACTCTCAATCCTGTATTCTTCCATGGCTGCAACTCTTTTCTGTTTTGCTATTTAAAAATAACCAATATTATGCTCTGTTACATTTTACTAAATTATTACCCAGTTTACTCAAACTCATCAAATCCTTCTTTATTCTCTTTCGAATCTTTTTTTCTCTAGAACTGTAAAAGTCTTCTTCCCAAAAACATCTTTGCATAGAAATGGTATCACCCATCAGCTCGTTTTCCACATAGCATTTCCTTCACTGCCTACTAGTGATGTACACATCACATCTCCTCTCCAAGCATTCTCCACAATACGTTGATCTCATGCTTTAGACTTAACATCCATCAAAATCTGTGGGCCGTCCAAAGCTGTTCAAAACACCTCCTGGTCCAGCCACTGCGCAAGGACTGACTGTCACTCTTGATTCTTCTTTCGATTGACAGGATGACCAAGTCCAGCCCAGTGGATGAAATTTTATATCAGCCAGAAGTTCTTAAACAACAAAACAAAGAAAAATGTCATCATTGACTATTGGTGGGATCCAAAGTTTTGTGTCAGCTTGGTGGTGGTGGATCCGTTGATGATCATCCAAAAGCTCTTGATGGTGGATTCATTCATCAACGTTACGGTTCCTAGGTCACGACTCATGAGGGTTGAAAGTTTGAATCAAACTTCTCAACTAGTGGATCTGCCTTCCCCTTTTTGCTGGATGAAGATGGATGAAGATGGGCAGCTTTTCCAGCGATTCGGGATCCAGGCCGAAGTGTCCGTCTTCTTGCTTTCACCAGAAAAGAGAACCAAGACACTGGGACGATTGGAAGAAAAACTGTTTTTGTTCGCTCTATATACTGCAACGTAATACTATCAAACGCTCAAAGACAAGCCGGAGACACTGTTTACCAGGAAGCTCTCGGGTTTGCTGCTCCCAACAACACGGAAAACTATCTCCAAATCCGGCCTCACTCTCACCTCCAAGACTTGCTGGGCGTGCTTCCTCTTCAAAAATCCTCCAACTTCTCTCACATCTCTCGCTGTGCATAAGAGCTTCACTTCCATGTTCATCCCAAATAGAAATCCTGCCACAGTGAAAGATAAAACTGTTAGCTCTAGAAACTCGATCTACAAAGCCAAGAAGACTTGACACTCTTCTAGAGAAACGGAAAGTGGTAAAAAAACCAATCCAGAGCGTACCAATTGTGTTTCGCAGCCAACTCCTTACATGCTGCATCTCCACATAACAAGTGTTGGAACGCTTCACGTTTTGCAAGGCAAGCATGTCCTCGGGCCGACCCCTGAAATACATGAAGTCTCCCACAACAATCCGGCCTCCCTCGAGATACAATCTTGAAACAGGCAAAACTTCCGTGTTAGAAAAACCATATGAAAACAAGTAGAAGAAAGGAAATTATTTCTTACTTGTCCCAAGTTGGCGCGGTGCTGAGGATGTACTTGAGCTGCTCGTATGTCGTGTCCTTGCCGTTCAAAGTCGTCAAGATACTCCTGAACCAGCTCTCCTGGCTCACCTCCTGGTCCAGGAAAGATTGCCACTGCTCCGAGGTGAGAACTTCTGGCTGATACAAAATTTCATCCACTGGGCTGGACTCGGCCCGTCAGTCAAAAGCTAGGATCAAAGAGTGAAAGTACCTGCAGTCTGGATTGATCAAAAAGACTTTATAGTCGATAAAATCCGTGGGGAGTTTGACACCCCTTCTCGCAATGTATGCCTCGAGCAGTGATGCGCGGAACTTGGTGTCCTCAACCTACGCATAATAGAGTTTAGTGTAAGAAAACTTGTCCAAGTGAAAAAGAAAAACCAAAGAACTTACAACATCTGGCAGTGTATGCGTGGTGCCATTTCTCCTAATCTGACACCAGCTCCCATCGCGCTGGATTTTCACAGTCCCAGCCCAGTTTTTCACTTCAATCACATAAATCTTCCTGGAAAGAGATCAAGTCATCAAAGAAGCAACAAAGAAAAACTTTACTTCTTGGTGAGTATGACCAGATCAATCTCTCTCCGACCCTTGCGCTCGCTGTCAGGCACCCGCAGCGACTGGAAGACCAGCGCGCCAGACACGCCTTGGAATCTACATGCGCGCCGTGAAGAACGATCCACAACAAAAAAGAAAAAGAATCTCACTCACAGCAGCGCTACTTCGAGCTCGCCTAGCCGCCCCGCCCTGTCTGATTCGTTCTCGGATTCCCTCTGGGGCCGGGACACATCGCGAATCTGCCGGACTCCAGCCAGAAAATGGATCGCTGTGGCCGCCAAAGTGCGCAGAACTTCCATGAAAATTCCTCCACATTGCAAGAACCCTAAAATCCATGGCGAAGAGGCGGGCTCGACGCTTGGAATTCGAGCCCGGGACCTCCAGAATTCCAATCACTGTTGGGCACGTGTCGAAGCTACCAGCCCAATTGGCAGTACACGGTTAGCTCATTTTTGTGTAATCTGGACTCATCCACCACGTGGCAGAATCATCATTTGTCCCCGTTCACACGGCTATCTGGGCCCCGAAACTTATCATACTGGCGAGCGCTTAAGCGTAATATAATCGGATTTTCCGTTGTTCTTCGTTCTCCCTTGTGGCGTCCTCCGGCTAGGGCGCTGTGGATTGCGAGGGCGCGCGCGTCGCGGCTAGAGCACAGGCCGGGCATAATGCGATCCAGAAGTGGCTAGGCGATCGCGCGAGTTTCTTGGTCGATCATTCCACAAGGTATTAGGGTTCTACCGCAGATTGCTCTAGGCGGTGTTAATTGGAATTTTCTTAGCAGAAGCTATGGCGGATCATAGTCCGCCGCCTGTGGCGGGAGAGATCGACACAACTGCGCCGTTTGAATCTGTCAAGGCCGCCGTGAATCTCTTTGGGGAGATCGCCGATTCTAAAGCTTTGAAGTTTCCTAGTGCCGAGGTACTCGCTTAGATTTTTTTCTCTTTCTTCTTCGTGTGATCTGATAAATTCTCTGTTTTTCTTCTCAGAAGCGCGCATCGTTGGAGCTCCAGCAGCTTCGCGAGAATTTGGCGGCGACCAGACAGCAGCTCTCTCAAGCGCAAACGTCCAAAAACGCTCTTTTCCAGGAGCTGCTCGAGACCAAGCGCCTTGTCGAGTTTAAAACTTCTCAGCTCGCCAACGTTTTATCGTCCAAGCCGTCGAGTTCAGAGGTCGCCCGCCAGGCGGAAGAAACGTACACGCAGATCGATGCTGTGTCAAATGTTGTCCAGGAGAAGTACGAGGAGGCAGTCGCGAATTTGGCCACCACGGAAATGGAGGTTGAAAGGCTAAATGCTGAGATAGAGAGCTCGGTGGCTGCGCTGGAGGAGCAGCAGCAAGGCCATCAAGGTGAAGAGAAAAACTCGGTTTTGGCAGAGAACGCAACAGAACCTCCACAAATCGTCGACAACACGGAGGGGCTTAAGAACGAGCTAGCTGCGACAAAAGAGTCCGAAGAGAAGCTGCTGGAGGAGATCGCCGGCTTGAGATCCAAACTCGACAAGGTGAAAGCCGAGGTAGAAGAAGCCCGGGTTTCAGAGACGAAGGCTACGAAAGCGGCAGGCGACGCGGCTCAGGAGCTCGCAAATTTGAGATCGAAACTAGACACTTTGGTGGAGGAGAAGAACATGCTCGCCGCTCTTTCCGAGTCGCTGCGAGACCAACTCGTCAAGGCAAAGATGGAGCTGGAAGCTCTCAAAGACGCTGCCGAGTCCGAGGCCCTGCCTTCTTCAAGCGCCTCGGCGGAGCTGCAAAAGGTCCGAACCGAGCTCGCAGCACTGGTTGCGCTGGAGGCCAAGGCAAAAGACACAATCGCTGGAGTTTCACAGGCTTTACAAAAGGTGACGTTTGAAGCGGACGAGTCCCGGCTAGCTGCCGAGGCCGCTCTGGAGGAAGCCCACAAAGCAAAGCAGGAGCTCGAGGAGGCCAAAGCTGCGGCATTTACAGCCGAGAGCCGGCTCGAGGCAGCGACGAGGGAGGCTGCGGCTGCCAAGGCCGGCGAAAGCATGGCTCTCGCTGAACTAAAGATGCTCTACGAGAAGAAATCATCGGTGGAAGATATCAGCTCTCCCAGCGACAAAGAGGCGCTCGGCAAATCAAAGAAAGAGTGTGACAACCTCCGAAAGAGGCTCCAGGAGGCGGAGGAACTGGCGGAGATGAAAGTAGCGGCGGCGCTGGCCAAAGTTGACGCTGCAAAGGCGAGCGAGCGGGAGATCCGAGCGAAGCTGGAGGCCGTCCGGGGCGAAGTCGAGACGAACAGATCGATGGCGAAGCAGGCGCTCCACCGCGCCGAGACGGCCGAGGCAGCGAAGTCGGCGATAGAGAACGAACTGAGAAGAAGACGCAGGCCCGCGGACCACTCCACTGGAGTGGCTTCGTCGACGACGTACAGAGGAGGATCTCCCTTGCAAGCCGGAGCGACGGTGCAAACTCCGGACCGAAGGATGGAGCCGCCACACCATCACACGATGGCGAGGAGGAGCTTGGACTACACCGCGACCGACCACAGCTTCGTCTCGGCGGACGTCTCGGCCGAGTCCATTGCGCAGCTCCTCCAGCTCAAAGTTTCGCCGCTCAAGACGTCGCTCCCGATCGCGGAGAATCCCGAGAAGTCGGACAAGTCGGACAAGTCGGAGAAGAAGAAGAAGAGCAAGCCGTTCATGAAGCTGGGATCTTACTTGAGCAGGAGGAAGAGCTCGGTTGGATCCACTTCTCCCAGGATGTGAGCTCGCGAGCTCGCGAGATCGCGCGCATTGGGGTGGAGTGGAGAGATTTTGGTCGCGGCTTCCCACAAGTTTGGAAGAAAGACAAAGGAGCGCTTCCGAGAAGCTTGGAAGAACAAAGATTTGCCAAAAGCGAAAAGAAAAACTACACACACAAAGTTACAAATTAAGAAAATATGGAGGTAATGTATTAAATTTTTTGGTGTTGTATTGCTGTGAATAAATCTAAACCATGGAATAGATCGAGGACACGTGGCTGGCCAGTATTGTTTCGTGGCGGATGAGGAGGGAAAAACATATTTTAGGGCTCTTCCACTTCCAGCTCGTGATCTTGCGCGCGATGACGCTCATCAATCTCTTCCGGAGGTACGAGCGCTGGAATCCCGTCCATCCCACGTATGGCGCCTTCTGGGGGATTGGATTCGGGCTGGGCTGCGGCGTGGGATGGGGGCCGGGATTCGGCCCCGAGGTCATTGGCTATGTCGGCTCTGGATGCGGCGTGGGGATCAGCGTGGGAGTGACAATGGTGGGAGTTGGAGTTGGGCTTCCCGCTGGCGGCCTCGCTTGCGTCCCTTCCGACGGTATGTCCTTGGTTTTCAGCTCAATTTCTCGATCTAGTTTGCTAGAATTCCTGCATTTTCTGCCTAGCTCTTTCCTTTCGCAAGGAAAGTGCCTGTTTGAGCTCGATTTCTCTGCCTTGCTCGTAAGAATCTCCCACGAGAAAGAAAGGCCGGATCTCCAATCTCCGAGAAACTCGTGTTTCTCTCTGGAAAGATTGGAGCTGGAGCTTTGATACAATCCCTGCCTTACTTTTTTCTTTGGCTCTTGATTCTTTGCAGATGTCTCGTAGGAAAAGTCCTAGTTTTCGTGACGCTACTGCTCATCTAGGTGGATGCTTGTGTGTGAGTTACTCTTAAATTTCGGTGAAATCAGTGTTTCTTTCGTTTTGTGCTTCCGTGTGTTTGATGATCGCTTGTACGCTAACGTTTACCAGTCATTTCCTTCTTCTGGGCCTCTAGAGTTCTCACTGATGGCTTTTCTTCTTTGCAGTGGTCTCGTATGCGGGTCACGGGATCATGGATTTCACAAAGTCGACCGCAGCTCCAGCAGCGTCGATCGCTGTAAAACGAGGATGGAGTGCGTTGTGTCTGCACATAGGAACAGCTCTAGAGCGAGGTCGACTCGGGCATTCCAGTCGCAAGAGCTACAGTCTCGATGAGTTCCAAAGGCAATCTCTGGTGGCCCTGAGGCAAGGCTGGGATTCATTCAGTGGCAAAGTCCGGAGTGCCGGATTGTCTCGCTTGCGTCCATGCAATGCCGGTCTCTTGCAGAGCGATTCTAATAGTAACCAGAGTGAGAGGCCGCCTCCACCATCTTAGTGCTTCGCCTTGAGTTGATAGGATTGATTGCTAACTTCGGTTTTGTACGTAAGCTGTTCCATTTTCATGTAAATAATAATATTAGGATTAAGCGAAGAATGTGATTTTGTTTTTATTCGAAGAACTGCTAATAATCAACGAGGACGATCAAGACAAAGAAAGCAATTGATTGAGCAAAGTAGTGATTGGCTCTAGTTGTGATCCTGCTCGAGCTTCAAGTTCTCGTCGGTGGCGTAAACCACGCAAGCCTGAGCCGTGGAATGAAAAATTTGCGAAAGATTGTCAATGATGTTTGGAAATAAGTAATTACAGTTTTATAACTTAAAAAATGCCCTGGACAAGCCGAGGAGAAAGAAGATGAGATTATTGCTTTTGTTCAGTTCCACTGCTTGAGAACACAAATCTTTGTCCTCCTCCATCGCGCTGTGAGAGTGTCGTGAAAATGCTGGATGGATTGGAAGAAGTTCCACTGTCGCCCGATTCCAGGCTGGCAAGCCACAATTCCGATGAAGATCACTCCTGGAGAAAAGGATCTTTATGTACTCTCCAAACAGGCAAGATTTGTAGGCTGCTGGATGCTCCGAGTCTACAAACTTGTGAATCGGAGAGACTAGAATATTAGGAGCTGGGTTGTAGAAATTTGAAACCCATTGCCAGAGAGCTGGGGATCGCGTGGTGTGCCTCAAATCCAAACGTGGCACTGTTATCACTGGAGCTACCAAAGAAAGTCAGGTACTACATCAAAGCTTAGATCTTTCTTCTTTTATTTTTCCAGCTTGTCGAAAACGTGAAGGCTCTATTGGTGATAGAGGTCATGAAAATTCCTGGTAAATAAAAAACTAGAAGTCGTCGCCTGAGAGATTCGAACTCTCGCGGGGAAACCCCATGTACTTAGCAGGCACACGCCTTAACCACTCGGCCAAAGCGACACTTGATCAGAAAATCCTTCCACAGTGTTATAGACATTATAGGGGCTATATCACAGAAAAACTGTACCCGATCATGAAGATAAAAAGGACGAGACGATTGTTCAGGTTCGTTTCCATTGCACAAGAAAAATCGATTAGCACTTTGAAGCATCATATGACTTCAATCATGTTGGAACAAAAAATAGAATCTCACAGAAAAGAGAGTTTACCTTTGACTTGTGAGAGTGTGTCCATTGGTTTGTGAGGCCGTGCCAACGTTTTGGAATGTCACCACTATTTGGTCTTTGTTTCTCATACTAGTCCAAGAGCTTTCTCTCGGGTGGAGGCAGCAATCCATCTTCATCCTCTCGGCGAGTGTTAGTGAAGAACTTCTTACGAAAGCACATTGAACGTGGAATAGTTAATCTAGAAGCGTAAAAACTTTACCGTGTAATTTAGACAACCTTAGCTGACTAGCTCTAGAAGACAGGGTTTGAGAAAAGCTTTTTATACACATTTTGCAGAAGGATAACCAGTCATTTGTGTTTTTCCATTCAATTGCTGTACTTTGATCCTGCTCGCCACCACTGAGGTCATTTCCGTTTTGAGCATAAGCCGCGATCATGGCGTTCCAGGCCACCAGGAGCTGGCTAGAAGACATGAAAGCAGCGTCAACCTGGTTGCGAGCTCAGCCCCAAGCATCGAGCAAGCAGCGAGAGCTCCAGCGCAAGTCAGGTTTGATCCCTGCGGAGCTCATCTCCCTGTATAGCCGAATCACTTCCGAGCTAGCTGGGCGTAAGCTGCCAGCATCGCGTTCCAGCAGTTTGCGCTGGGCTGACTTGCCTCCAGCACCTTGCGGACATGGAGACTAGCGCAGCCTTCACAGCAGCGTCCGTGAAGACCTTAGAGTCTGTAACTATGATAATCCACCTTGAAAGTACGCCTAGATCAAAATCCTTCCTCCAAATCCCTGAGTTCCAAACAGGCACTTGAGAAGTGTTTCACACCACGACCACCTTTGTATCCTTGTAGAAACTCTCACTCGAGCCTGCCGCACGTTGATGAGTGCCGCCACAGTGAAAGTCGTGTCGCTGGCTTTCAATCCGAAATCCTCGTAGAGATGTCGTTGGTCGATCTGCCCGCCCTGGGCATATGCCGCGATCATCAAGTTCCCTCTATCCGATCGAGGCCTCTCGCAGCCTCACAGCGCGAATACATCTTCACGAACCCAACGTCCACATCTATCCCGCTCTGGAACTCGCCACTGGAAATCCTGGCATCCCTAGCACCCATGCCTAAACATCTCGATCGCCTTGCGTTCTTGGTGGAAGACCTCGATGGTGTCGTCAATCTGGCCGAGGAATCCATCGCTGGGGCCCCTAAAATATTCCTTTAGTCTCCTCCGGCCTGCGTTGTTTTTGCACATTTCTTATCATCCAGCTTGACCTTTTTGGCCATCAAACTTTGCTCTGCTTCTTCCTGATCGCCTCGCCTTCGCTTCAAGCTCGGCTCCAAAACCATCTTCGTCGTCTCCAGATTAGCCCTCCACCAAATTAGACAATTCCTGTTGTCGTGCAGAATGCTTGACTACCCATGGATGCTTCTTAATTTCATGGATTGGCAGCCTCTTTCTCGGGTCCAAGTGGAGCAGCTGGAGAATGAGATCTTTGGCTTCCTCGCTCACATCCGTCCAGTCAAGAAAACTCAACGGCACATCTTCCCTCCCCACGCATAATGCAATCGTCCCGGACAACAAGATGGCATAGAAAAAAAATGCACACCTTTAGAAGGGCACCTTGAGGACCCGAGAACTGGTTCCCACCGAGATTCTTCTTGCCATACATTGCTTGATCACTATGTCCAACGTTTTGGATGGAGGAGAAGGAGAGTAAGAAATAGTCATAGAGGTAGTAGAATCCCGGGCGCTGTGGTGACTATAAAAATGTCTATCTATCTCTCTGGAAACTTAAACTTTGTTTGCAGTTTGGAATTGATACTGACAATATCTTTGTGGAAATCATGAGCGAGCTAGAGCAACTTATTCGGATGTGGTTCTTCTCCTCAAGAAGTTGAGGTTTGACACAAAGCATTCGGACAGGTATAGACGATTGGAAGGACATAAAATTTGCTGGACCCCCACGTCGCCACAATTTTTATTCGTTGCAGATAGAAGGTTAGCACCTTGTTTGTTTCATGCTACAGTTTGACCATCGAAAATTTCCATGTGACCAAGTCAGGTGGTTTGACAATGACAATGACCACAGACGGTTAAAGCTCAAGTCCATGACAATTGTGAAAATGGAGATGGTCTTTTAAAAATATTTTTACGCATTTAACTTTGTTCTTTTTTTCTTAACAGGTCCACGCATATAGATCAGAAGATCAACCAAGTGTTTACCGAAACTGGCAGCAACGCGCTCGCATCATAAATCGTTGCCCAAGCAGCTTAAGAGTGATATCTCTAATTTGTAAAAGCTGGAGGCTTCTCTAATTCACGACATTGAAAAGGTGTTTGGCATTTGAATATTAATTTCTGCATCATGCTAAATCAATACATTGTTGCAGAAAACTAATACATTGCAGTCGCTCATCGGCATATCGAGCAAGATCGATCAAGCATGATCAAGCATTGACCAAACAAACAGAATTAGGCATGAATCTGATTACACCAGACTAGGAGACGGAACTTTCTCGTCTGAACCCATCCCGGATTTAAAAGACATGCTAGTGTGGTATTGGACTGTCATTCATGTTTGTCCGTTGTTATAGTCGATGGGGCCTAGAGACAGAAACCCCTATGAGAGGGCAGGAGTTTGGAGGCTCAAGTGGAAGCGCTCGTGGATTTGGAACAGATGCAAGAACTGCAGTATAAAGGTCCATGTTCCTTGAACGCCACTGAGATTGTTTGGCTCGAAGGCACCATTATTTCCTTGGCAGCTGTCTTTTAGTCAGACACTGTTCTACGGGAATTCAAGGGAGAAAAGTTCCTAAAGGAAATTGTCTTCGAGCTCTAAAATTAAGCGTTTGACCATTTGGTCAGAAAAGTGAGAAGATTCATGTTCTGGCCTTTTTGTATAAAAGAAAAGTGTATAAAAAAAGCAAGAGTAGGGCTAAAGAAACTTTCAAGGGTGACGCTCAGTTTCAAGGAATTGACTTAGATGGGTTACTCGGTGCACTTCGTGGGCTGAAAGAGGAGCTCTACGAGTTACTTAAACTGCCTCTCCCACAAGAGCAGGAACGGGAGAGCACTGAATCAAAGAGATTGATGGACGAGCAAAGGGCACTCGTGCGATCCATGGAGGCAATGGAGTTTAACCAGGCAAGCATAAGAGACTTGTTCTCGGTGGAAAGGGTCGGGGAGGGCAATCAATTGTGTACAAAGTGAAACGTAAGAGTGATGGTCAATTGTTTGCTTGCAAGTCGACTACTCTTGAAGACCAAGCTGAATTGGAGATCAGAGTACTCACAAAACTCTCCAAGAGTAAAGAGAGGAGTGGCGTGGTTCAACTGGTGGATGTTTTCAAGGACGAAGATCACTATTTCCTCCTCATGGACCTATGCCAGTGCTCGTTGACTGAGGTGTTGTTGAAAAAGAAAAAACTGAGCGAGCATGAGGCAGCAGTGGTGATCAAGAATGTGGCTAGGACTGTGGGAAAAATGCATGACATGGGCATGGCTCACAGGGACATCAAGACTGACAACATCCTCCTAGTTGTAACATTGAGAGGCATGGATGGTATTTTAATGCTTGATAGAAATTGATTTTTATCTAGATTCTACTTGATTTTTTTTTTTAAGTATATGTGGTATCAAATAAATCGTCGACGTGCAGCCATAGAGCTCAAGCAGAACCAACCAGACGTAGCACTTCCTTCAATCATTATATTCGTTTACATTGGGAAGAATGCGAATGTTTTTCCTTAAGACCTTGTGCTCCAACTGAAGAATCAACAAGGACGATCTGGTGAAAGAAAAAAAAACAAGCCTGTAATTCATATCCTTTCGAAGAAACTCCATCAACCTTTGGGGACGTGATCGGCTCTAATTGCGATCCTCCTCGAACTTCAAGGTCTCGTCGGTCACGTAAACCATGCAAGCCTTGGACAACACAGCCTTGGAATGAAATTTTTGCGAAAGAAAGTTAAGAAGCAGACCTTGACATAGTTTGCATTTGGAAGGCTTGTACTGATCTCTTCGACATCGAGATCTTCGAACGGGTTCTTGACGAGCTGGCTTCCAAACACCGTCTCGTCACAATCGACCCATTCGTCCTCGACGTCCGAGATCACATCCGGATCCACTGCCACAGAGAATTTGAATGGATCGAAGCTTTGAAATATTTCGAGATCGACCGTACCATTCTCTTCGCAGATTTCCTCCAGATCTCTCCTCAGTGCGTCCTTGAGACCTTGATCCAGCGGGCAATCGAGCCTGTGAAAAGAAAAAAAGAAGCACTGGAGAGAGACATCGAGCGGCTTCTTACCATTTCCGCATCCAGAACTTGGAATGCTTGCGGCGATCTTCATCACCTTGGTCGGAGTCGGAATCTGCGCGGCGATCGATCGAAGAGCTCGCCGGCCTGGCTTTCTTGAATCCATGGCGCTGCTCTCCCGCTCCAGCCATATTCCAAAATATTTGTTCTGCTCTAGGGCAGAGACGTAATCTCCCCCGCCCATTTGTAAAGACTTTCAATCGAAGCCGTCCATTTGATTTTCACTTGAGAAGCATCTTGATAGATTCTCTTTTATTTTAAATTGCGTGGCTATGGCCGCTGGATGGAACAAGCTAGACGGTGCCAAGGCGCTCGTCGATAGCGGCATAGACAGGCAGATTTCTATGTCAAGCCCCTCGATCAGAGGCTCTCTCCTCAAGATCTGGCGCTCCACGCCGACGAAATCCCGGTGATCGATGTCTCCCCGCTGCTGGATTCCAAGCCTACTTCATCCGATCGCAGCAAGGAGGACGTAATCGCCGAGCTGCTGGATGCGAGCGAGAGATGGGGCTTCTTCCAGGTAAGAAACTGTGCCGCGTATGGAATCGTCTCAACAGGAACTGGATCTAGGTTATCAATCACGGCATCGGCAGCGATCTCACGCGGCGGATGCTCGCCGTGGCTCACGAATTCTTCCAGCTGCCGCTCGCGGAGAAGATGGTCTCCTATAGTACGGACATAGACGCCGCCGTGAGGTACGGCACGAGCTTCAATCCGCTCAAGGAGGTGTTTCTAGACTGGCAAGACAATCTTTTGCATCGATTTCTACCGGAGCGCCAGGATCAGCCACATCCATGGCCGACCAAACCAAGCTCTTACGAGTAAGTCTAAGTGCTAGACTTGGTTCATCCAATTCTCTTGCCTGGTTTTCTCTAAGTTTTCATGGATCGTCCAGGTTGATTGCTGGGGAATTTGTGGATCAAGCCAAGTTTCTGGCCCGCCATCTCCTGCGAGCATTGTCTGAGGGTCTCGGCTTAGGCCCGGACTATTTGGAGGGGGAGTTTGGTGAGCACAACGTGGCGCTGCGGCTCAATTATTATCCTCCTTGCCCGAGTCCTGAGCTTGCAATTGGACTGAGTAGTCACTCCGATGTTGGTGGTCTCACGATTCTCTTGCAGGACAGTGATATCGTCGGACTCCAAGTGAAGGTCCAGGAGAAGTGGAAGACGGTCAGGTCGGTTCCTGGTGCTCTTGTTATCAACATTGGCGACCAGCTTCAGGCAAGCTAGCAAATAACTTGTAGAATGGTTGATATGTGTGCTTTTCGTCTTTTGGACAGATTTATAGCAATGGAAAGCTCAAGAGCGTCGAGCACAGAGCGATCGTAAATGCCGATAAAGCTCGGGTATCAGTCGGGCTCTTCTACGATCCAGCTTCCGACGTTAGAGTATCTCCGATTCCCAAGTTTGTAGACACGGAGCATCCAGCAGCCTACAACCCTTGCGTGTTTAGAGACTACCTGAAGAACCTCTACTCCAAGAACTTGGTGGGCAAGGAATTGCTGGAATCCCAAAGGAAATAGCCTCGGAAGTGGATGTTTTCAGGAGTGAGAGTTTGGCAGGTCAAGGTGATTCTCAGCCTGAAAAGATGTTTTAAGGTGGCTACTAGTGACCGAACTCCAATCCATGTAATTGTCATTCTTTTCCTCATGCTTCATGATCTGCTGGAATGTCAACAATGTGCTAATGAGCATCAAAGACTCTTTCAAGTTCATTTACTTATAATGAAGGTTATTTGATACTGATAAAAGTAAAGGATGTTAGAAAGCTTCTCTTTCCATTTAAAATTCATGAAAAAGAAAATGTAGTTCAAAGTTGAAATTAAATCTAAGGAATTCATAATATTTCAGTTATGTTTTAATATTGATTACAATGTTTTGATATATTTGGCAATAGGCAAACATGGCCTTCATATGGTATTCAGGTCCTTGGAGAATCCAGGTCTAGAACACTGAAGTGTTATCAAATGAATTTTAGTGTACTTCCTAAATTTTTTCCGTAAAAACAAGTTGTAATGAGCATTCACAAATCATTTTTATATAATAATAATTATTATTATTATTTTCTTAAGCAAACACAGTACTGGATATATCTAGAATATGCTTGAATATTTTGTATATACTCTTAAACTATAAAGTGGATATTCTACTATCGAAGACAGTTCTTATTCATTTATATTAATCTTAATTTATAAAATTTCCTAAACACTTTTTAGTATATTGGTTTTTGTCTTTTTAGTATATTGGTCTTTGTTTCTCAAACTAGTCTGAGAGCTTTCTCTCTGGCAATCCATCTTCATCCTCTCGCCGTCCTTGGTGAGTGTTAGTGAAGAACTTCTTACGAACCTCGAAAGCACATTGAACGTGGAATAGTTAATCTAGAAGCGTAAAAACTTTTCCGTGTAGTTTAGACGAACCTTAGCTGACTAGCGGTTTGAGAAAAGCTTTTTATACACATTTTGCAGAAGGGTAGCCGGTCATCTGTGTTTTTCCATTCAATCGCTGTAAGCGTAGGCTACTATGATCCTGCTCGCTACCACTGAGGTCATTTCCGTTTTGAGCATAAGCCGCGACCATGGCGTTCCAGGCCACCAGGAGCTGGCTAGAAGACATGAAAGCAGCGTCAACCTGGTTGCGAGCTTAGCCCCAAGCATCGAGCAAGCAGCGAGAGCTCCAGCGCAAGTCCGGTTTGATCCCTGCGGAACTCATCTCCCTGTATAGCCGAATCACTTCCGAGCTAGCTAAGCTGTCAGCATCGCGTTCCAGCAGTTTGCGCTGGGATGACTTGCCTGAAAACTTGGCACGTGAGATCCAGCCTCCTCCGGCACCCTGCGGCAGCCTTCACAGCAGCGTCCGTGAAGACCTTAGAGTATGACTATACCTGTCTCCCCTAGGTGTCGCTGGCTTTCAATCCGAAATCCTCGTAGAGATGTCGTTGGTCGATCTGCCCGCCCTGGGCATATGCCGCGATCATCAAGTTCCCATATTCTGATCGAGGCCTCTCGCAGCCTCACAGCGCGAATACATCTTCAACCCAACGTCCACAACTATCCCGCTCTGGAAGTCGCCACTGGAAATCCTGGCACCCATGCCTAATCAGCTCGATCGCCTTGCGTTCTTGGTGGAAGACCTCGATGGTGTCGTCAATCTGGCCTATCGCTGGGGCCCATAAAATATTCTTTTAGTCTCCTCCGCGTTGCGCACTTTTCTGACCAAATGGTCAAACGTTTAATTTTAGAGCTCGAAGACTATTTTCCTTTAGGAACTTTTCTCCCTTGAATTCCCGTAGAACAGTGTCTGACTAAAAGACAGCTGCCAATGAAATAATGGTGCCTGCGAGCCAAACAATCTCAGTGGCGTTCAAGGAACATGGACCTTTATACTGCAGTGCTTTCATCTGTTCCAAATCCGCGAGCGCTTCCACTTGAGCCTCCAAACTCCTGCCCTCTCATAGGGGTTTCTGTCTCTAGGCCCCATCGACTATAACAACGGACAAACATGAATGACAGTCCAATACCACACTAGCATGTCTTTTAAATCCAAGATGGGTTCAGACGAGAAAGTTCCGTCTCCTAGTCTGGTGTAATCAGATTCGTGCCTAATTCTGTTTGTTTCGTCAATGCTTGATCATGCTTGATCGATCTTGCTCGATTGCCGATGAGAGACTGGAATGTATTAGTTTTCTGCAACAATGTATTGATTTAGCATGATGCAGAAATTAATATTCAAATGCCAAACACCTTTTCAATGTCGTGAGCCTCCAGCTTTTACAAATTAGAGATATCACTCTTAAGCTGCTTGGGCAACGATTTATGATGCGAGCGCGTTGCTGCCAGTTTCGGTAAACACTTGGTTGATCTTCTGATCTGTATGCGTGCACCTGTTAAGAAAAAAAGAACCAAGTTAGATGCGTAAAAATATTTTTAAAAAACCATCTCCATTTTCACAATTGTCATGGACTTGAGCTTTAACCGTCTGTGGTCATTGTCATTGTCAAACCACCTGACTTGGTCACATGGAAATTTTCGATGGTCAAACTGTAGCATGAAACAAACAAGGTGCTAACCTTCTACAGTGCTGCAACGAATAAAAATTGTGGCGACGTGGGGGTCCAGCAAATTTTATATCCTTCCAATCGTCTATACCTGTCCGAATGCTTTGTGTCAAACCTCAACTTCTTGAGGAGAAGAACCACATCCGAATAAGTTGCTCTAGCTCGCTCATGATTTCCACAAAGATATTGTCAGTATCAATTCCAAACTGCAAACAAAGTTTAAGTTTCCAGAGAGATAGATAGACATTTTTATAGTCACCACAGCGCCCGGGACTCTACTACCTCTATGACTATTTCTTACTCTCCTTCTCCTCCATCCAAAACGTTGGACACAGTGATCAAGCAATGTATGGCAAGAAGAATCTCGGTGGGAACCAGTCCTCCAAGTTTTCGGGTCCTCAAGGTGTCCTTCTAAAGGTGTGCATTTTTTTTCTATGCCATCTTGTTGTCCGTATACATGCTCTCTTTCATCTTCTCTCCAGTTCCAGCCAGTGTTTATTTAGTCGTCTCTGCGGCTTGTTTCGTCTTGTCTCTCATCTACAAGATTCGTCTCAACACCACATCTTTGATTCCAGAGTTTTTATTTACCTGCTGGAGCGTATTTCCTGAGCAGTGCCTTTCATGTCCTGCAGAGTCTCCGAATGAAACGAAGAAGGAGAATAAACAGAACCTCTTTCTTCTGATTGGCGTGGAGAGGTTTCTAAGCATGGATTTCTTCTTGGTTCCACTGCTGGTTATTTAAAACTAATTACCTTTTATGATATATATAAATTAAGCCTCCTTTTGCGAGTATAAAAGATCACAAAGAACTACTAGGCCTTTTTCATTCTTCCAGTCAGTAAAAGGGCAATAGAGTACAATTGTCAAAGAGATTGTTGAAAAAGCACAAGAGGCATGCCGAAAACAATAAACTCAAACATCATTAGTTTAACATGAAGCATAAGAACTATGAGTCTTCATTCACACTTTTTGACTTGGAGGCAAGCTTGGATACTTTGTATAAAAAACAATAAAGCACCCCAAGAGGAGGCTTCTTAAATGGATGGTCCATATATTATACTATAATAATTAGTGTATCATATATATGT